TCAAAATGAACCTTATTACGCTTATAAACTAGAGATTAGATCCTTATCATTTCGCTCTGTGTTTACTCATGCGATATGATCTCTTTGGAACTTTACGGTAGGGACTTCGGTATCTGCGTAGTTAATAGTTGTAATGATATATTTTGGGTAGATAATCACGATATGCCATAGTGTCTAGCCCTTGGTAATCAAAAGGCGACATAATCACACCCAGTATAGTTCAGTATAGACAGACAATATCAAGCTATTAGGGTGTAAGTGGGTTAGGGTAGCTACAGGGGGCTATTTATCTATACTGATATTCGTTCTATGTATGACATCCATCAAGTATACAAACTCTGTCAATGACATTAGTAGCAAATGAGAAGAAATAGGAGAGAGAGGTAAATATAAAAATAGCAGCTTATGGTTAATCTAAGGAAGGGGTTGCGTAACGTTGGATATATAAACTTCTCTTGCACAGATACACTGTCCTCTCCTCCTATATATTCCTGCAGTGTGTTCCAATGTATTCACAAGAGTACTGATAAACGATGGACCCCTCGGGATCTAGCTTAGCCTTTTTAGAATGGTTGTAGGGAGAATTTATTAGGCGTAATACGTATGGAAAGCGCTAATAAAATCAGAGTATGGACATATATTAAACCACCTACTTTGGCATCTTGTGTTATCGTTATCAAGTACCTATTCAGGGGCAGTTAGTAGCGCGCGCAGCGTTGGTGCTTTCCGTTGTTGGTGCCTTCCGTTGATACCTGCTCCTCCTGCCCTCAGGTGAATTCTTTTATTTCCCTGCATTGGGGATAAATCGTTCTTGAGCAGCTGGGAACATTGTCGCGATAGCAAGCTTTGACACCTGCCAATATGCTGTTATTGTTGCCAAGTTACCAAGTTACATGTTCGTAGGCAAACATTTCCGACCCGCCAAAAATATCACCCTCGACCACTCTCGTCACCTACGCCGCCGACCTCTCCTTTTTGACCTTGCAACCTTTACCATACATTGTCGTTGTTGATTCCGATCACTTCTATCCCCCACCATCACTGTGATTGTTCCTGATTCGTAGCCAACGGCCAAGGTAACCGCCACCAGCTATCAACATCGTACAAGGTAGAAGATATCTGAACAGCAAGACGCCTCAAGATGTCGTACTACTACTTCGCACCTACCCAGACTTACTACTACGAGAATGGCTATGTCCAGACCGGGGGAGTAATTTGTATGTGTGAACCTTTCCTATGATAATTATATTTCAGCCATTATAATCACGAAGGCGTTTGTTAGAGGAAACTTACATGTTGCTTCTGCGTGAATATCGCTTCGGAGATGCTATGGCGCTTCTGCCATTTATTGTACGCTTTTACTTACTTGTGTCCTATGCCTAACACCATGTATTAGACGGACCCGGTCTTGCCCCACCGGGCATCCAGCCTATCGAGCCGGCTATGCTTGCTGAAGTTGCGCAAGCCGCAATGGCTCAGCAACAAGCTATCCAGGCTCGGCAGCAACAGGTTCAGGCCCCCCAGGCCCTCCCGTCCCCCCAGGCCGACGACGCTGAGGCTGCTGAGGCCGCTGAGGCCGCTGAGGCCGATGAGGCCGATGAGGCCGAGGCTGGTCAGCCTGTCAAAAGCAACGTAAGGCACAAGTGTTCTCAATGTAGCAATGACTATGCAGCCAAACATGGCCTACTAGAACACGTCATGTCCACCCACATTGGAACCGTATGTTTCTGGCCGGGTTGTAATACGACCGTTGAGACTGAGAGGGATCTTCAAGCCCACATTAAGCTCAACCACACGCCCATCAGGCTCGGAGAGGCATTGTACCAGTGTGCTTGGCCTGGCAGTGGAGATAATGCGCAACCGTGTACTAGAGTCTTCGCATCTGTGTATTCAGCTTTACGATGCTCGCGCTTTCATCAGCACCACGCCAAGGAGCAGCATGATGCCTCAATGGCATAACCAAGTCCTATGTCTGAGGTAAGCTACCAATCTTTCTTTTGCTTAAATATATGGGGAGTTATTTGATACTAACTTGACCAGGAGTATAGCCAACCGTGAAGTTGATGAGAATGACAGAAAAGAGGAGGGCAGGAGAAAGGGTCGAATGTATCAAAGCATCAATGTGATGAAAGAGGAAGATGGTTGTTCGTGAGAAAGTTTGCACAATCCGCCGATTATATCGAATTTTGCTGTTGTTTCTAGCTCTGTATTCTATGTTAGTATTTTCCTTTCTCTAAAGTTAATTGCGGATAACAGGCCGTCATCCTGTAGTTAGCAACTGATAGTACCTGGTTGAATTTTCCTAGTTCTTTGGCCTACAGTAGGCACTTGCTAGGCGACGCCATTACTTCATATAGAAAATAAGGCATTCTTTCCTTCACAACAATTAAAATATCTTTTAAGCGGAAGTAACAGGGTCGTACCCTAAGCCCATTCCGTAGATACCTTGTTAAGCATATTGTCTCCCGGATACTTTGTGATGTAGACTAGATTTGGCCAGTACCTAAGGTACCTGAACGACTCAAGATACAACTACCTAAATATACCTCGATACATAACAAGTCCGTGCATCGACGCTCCTTCCGAAGCATATCGTACTTTCTAAATTGGACTTTTCGTGGGGGTAGGTGAGGTGTTCTATGGAAACCGCGATTTGTATGTGACTCAGTACTTGCCCCTATTTTTACCCAGCAACGCCTACCAAACCAACAAAAGATGTAGAATAGCTGTATTTCGCGCTAATCGAGCAGCTGGCAAGCTCACCGCCAAGTTTACCGGCAGAAACTCTTTTCGAGTGTATAAAAGAATGCGCCCGTTTCCCACCCTTCGCCATTTTCTTCCACCTTCATTCTAACTTCTAAACTATCAACCACCATCAATATATTCTAACAACAACATAAACTTATTCCAACAACATAATAACTATTATAATAACTATCTCTCTAACTTTCATAATTCCTCTTTCGTTCAATGCGACCTTCCCTATGCAAAAGTCCAGGAAAAGGGGGTATAGGTTCTCTACCTTAACAATAATACATGACACCAAAGGTATGTTCAAACTCTCTTACCATACCTCTTTACTCTCTGCAGTACATCTTCATACAGCACACGAGACTAGAGACCTTGGAGCTCTTGAAAGTCTTGTTATGCTTCTTTTAGCAAGCTTTGGTGAAATCTCCTTTTACAGATACAACCTCCCTCCCCTTCACATTAGCACTTCTATCTACAGTTTTCGCATTCTATCTACCTCTCCTTGAACATCATTACCTCTTTCTATCCTTTCGCAACTTCCTTTTCATATCCTCCACATCACATTTCTTTTCATCGCTGTTGCTCTGCTACCACTACCCCGCAATGCGATACACACCGCCTTAGGTGGGCAAGATAACCTCAGGACTTTAGTCTATTTCAAGGCGCACGTCCCTTCGTTCTTTCCAATCCATAAAACTTACATCAGATACTCAAACATATCCCGAACTACAAAATTGCTAACTAATTGAAAGATTCATAGATCTTATCTCCACGACTTAACACATACTCCTAATCTAACATACACTCCAACTCCAACTCACCTAGTTGCCTAACCTCCCTACTGTCCCTCTTCTACCTAATTTACCTAATATCCCTAATCCAACTTATACATTATTACCTAAGGTATGTATTATCCTCTCTTTAAAATCTTGTATACTTGACTCATGTTACCTTCTTCAACTTGGTGTCTCTCTTCACAAGTATCTTGCGACGCGACACGAGGCGTGGGGAGTGCTAACACTTTTCCTTAACAGCACCATGTCTTAACAAACAAGTCTTTATGCCCATTGGACCTTAGACTCCTAATGCCGAACCTTAACCAAAGCATGGAAAGGAACTCACTCACCTCTCCAACATCTTTCGCGTCGGCGCTTTGCCATGGCAATGGCAACTGATAACTAAGACCCATGATGCCATCATCAAGCAGCCGCATGACTAACATAAATAATAATAATATTTACTTGTAAGTTCCCTTTTCTACTCCGAGATAAGACATTGATTCGAAATGACCACAATCTGACTAGTCATAGCCCCTTAGAATAAGATGTCTCGCTGTATAGAATTCCAGTCCAGGAATTTCAGCACACGTAAGTCTTTGTTCTCCTTACCTACCTTTTGAGAAAAGTCCTATTATTGACAATTTTATTTTAATAGGCACCTCTGCCATGTGGGTGTCGGCTCTGAGACTATTAAACGGCACTGTCCCCATAGGGGTTCTCCAAGGCTATGAATAATTGCCCATATTTACACTCTTTAATCAACTCTATCATTGCAGGTACAACACTCTGCATACAACGCGGGGCTCAGTCGGCACACTACAAAATGCCTAGAGAATAAGCTAAATATTACTTCTTATACATGAAAGAAGCACAGAGCAAGCATAAGGCCCGCTCTTCTTATGCCAAAAATCAGGCCAAAACCGATGTTTGGCCCTGTCCTGAGAAGTGTGGGAAGGAACATCAAAACTTCCATTCCATGCTTCGCCACATGCGCGTGGTGCATCATTTTAGGGGGGAGTCAGCCGGGTTAAAGGAATTATCTAGGGATATTCAAGATTCAACAGCTTAGACAGTCGATGCAATACTCTAATTACATAGACAATGTCGGATCATAGAAAAACATTACAGAGAGAACAGCTATAGATAGTCTTTCATCGAAGCCTAAACATGGTATCAAATATAATAACATTACTACATAATACATACATGAGTTTTAAAATAATTATTTTTATTTAAATTAATGATGAATTTCGTATGCCTCATGGAAATCTTGCGTCGTAGTCTCGAGTGTTGCATATGTATATATCAAGAAATACGTATATTTAGATAGCATGAATTGGGTAATGATATATGCATTACTCGAAGTAAAACTTTTTGCGTCCAATTCAAAGCGCAATCACTGGCGTGTAAGTCGAATCATACATTATTCTAACAAAACTAGAAAGTAAGGGAATCAATTCATGACGGGTCATGAGAGGTCTCTATATCATACGTGGTCCTCTATATCGGCCCTTGTTGGCTCGCTCGCCGCAAGTTCTAAAGCGACACAAATTCTCAGGCCGGACCAAGCCGGCTGAAAAATCCAAGACTTCTCTCCCCAATACTCCAGCTAGGACGCGATTTGCACCATCTCCAACTGGATATGTGCATATAGGCTCGTTGAGGACAGCACTATATAATTACTTGCTTGCAAGGGCCACGGGCGGCCAGTTCATACTCAGGGTTGAAGACACGGACCAGGTGAGTTCCATTTGTTCCTATAGTTTTGAACGGTGGGTCGATATTCTAACATATCTCAGTCTCGAATTGTAGAAGATGCCGAGACGAGGTTATTCGAAGATCTAAAATGGACCGGGTTGAGTTGGGATGAAGGTACGAGAATTGCACTCATATAATAAACTACTCTTAATTCTCATTCATGATTTCTTATAGGTCCCGATGTTGGTGGAGAGTATGGCTCATATAAGCAGGTATTCCTTATCATAGCTCACTACTATATCATCGCGATACTAACCCTGTTCAAAGTCGGAGAGATTAGAGCTGTATAACCAGCATGCGGAACAACTGATAAATGAAGGCCTCGCTTATCGATGCTTCTGCACGCCTGAGGACTTGGATCAGATGAGATCCATAAATATTCAGGAGGGCAAGCAGCCCATCTACAATGGGACCTGCTCGCACATCTCTCCAGATGCATCCGCGCGTCGGGCAGGGAACGGCGAGCCGCATTGTGTACGATTCAAATGCGGCCAGCAGCCTGTCGTCAACGATCTCGTCTACGGTTACTACAAGAAGCCTACCGTAGAAGATGACTTCATCATTATTAAGCAGGACGGGTATCCAACCTACCACTTTGCTAACGTCGTCGATGACCATCTAATGGAGATTACACACGTTATTAGAGGAGCTGTGAGTGACATTCCAACGTCACCCTTTAATATTTATACGGAATCATAGCTAACGAAGAGAAATATAGGAATGGCTAGTATCTACACCCAGGCACGTAGCACTCTACGAGGCCTTCGGATGGCAGATGCCTCTATTCGCGCACGTCGGACTCCTAGTCAACGAAGAGAGGCAAAAGCTGAGCAAGCGCCATGGCGACGTCGATATCGCATCTTGGCGAGATCGGGGTATATTACCTAGCACACTACTCAACTACGTCATGCTGCTGGGCTGGAGCATGGGGAAGGGTGTAAAGGGGCAGCAGGAAGTTATGGATCTGAAAGACATGGTCAAAAGGGTAAGTGGCACATCGTCATTTGGATGAGCTAAACTCCTATTCAAAATAATATTAACTCGGAAATATAGTTCCATCTCGGCTTCACCAAGGGCGACATAACAGTCAACAACAAGCACGAGTACCTACAAAAAGCACACGTAAAGCGTCTCGCCCAAGCACACGGCCCCTCACGCGTCTCCCACATCCTCCTCCCAGCTCTCACATCCCGTGTGCAAAAATACGAAGACGCACGCAACGCAGACTCCGAAGACCCAACCCCAGCCCCTGGCATCAACAGCAAAATCGTATCCGAGCTAGGCCCCATGGTCCCTCTCGCCAGCGATACCACCGCCACCACCGCAACCATCTCCAAACCTTATCTAGACCAAGTCCTACAGCTCGACATGCAGAACTATAAAGACGCCGAGACCTACGTATCGCGCAACCGGTTCCTAATCTGGCAAGTCCCGGAGTCGCTGTACCGCTCCAGTTTACACGAGGAGACAGCGAACGTGGACGAAATATACACGGACCGGGAGTTAGGTACGCCTGTCGAAGAGGAGCTGCAAGAGGAAGAAGAAGAATACGATGATGACGAAGAGGAGCGGCAGGGCGGGGACCAAGACCGCTACCCCCAGACCGTATCGGGACTTACGGCCACGCTGCGCGATATTCTGGAAGCCTTGGAGGATTCGGAGTGGACTAAACAGAGGATCGAGAGTGCTATCTTGCCGTTCTTGAGGTCTATCTACGCTACGTCGAAGACTTCCGAGTCGGGCTCTAGTCACCAAGAGCCGCAGCTCTGGGGATACCATCTCCTGCGCTGGGTCGTCGCTGGGTCGCGGCCCGGACCGTCGTTGATACCGAGTTTAGTTGTACTAGGCAAGGAGGAGACTATGAGACGGGTGGATGAGGCGTATGAAGTAGCTAAGAGCGAAGAAGTTGAAGAAGTCGAGTCGGAAGTTTAGGTCAGGTCAAGCCAAGTCTACGAGCATTACTTGGCAACCACAGATCTAAACCACGCAAAAAAAGAAGGACAGTAGTCAATCAAGTCATGGAATGAAGAGAAAAAAAAGACTTGTGTATATCAGGTACAAAGCATCCTGTACTCTGTATTACTATTCTTACTTTTTTATAATCAGCCCCCCTTTCCTATCCGATGCCGAAAACGCCGTCCAATGCTTCATGTCTCGTAATAGCGGCCGTACGACGTGTGCCATATCATAACATCCCAGAATTCTCTACGGAATATTTATTCCTACGTTGTAGTAATAATAGTATCCGGAGCTGGATTCGTAGTGGTAGTGGTAGTAGTAGTAGTATCACCCAGCCCGTTGAAAATCTTAGCTTTGACTTCAATCGCCATAAGCCCTTGCTTCTCATTCATGGCGACGGAGTGGCTTGTGCGGGCAAGCTTGTCCATCTCCGCGTCGAGCGCCTTGCTTCCCGCACCGAGACCTCCCCTAGAGTTGCGCTGACATGACAGGGTGGCTTCGCGGATTTTGGAGCCTAGGTCTAGCATTTGCTTGTCGCCGTAGTCGCGGTTTGTCAGTAGCGGGTTCTGCGATAGGGTCTGCACCCAGTACTTGCTCCACAGCAGCTCCAGTAGGCTTGAGTCTAGCGTTGACTTGAAATGCGACACTCCTAGACTATAGTACTTGCTCGCGTGAGCACCGAAGTCTTCGGCTTTGGACAACGGTACGGCTTGGCCTGAGGATGAGGAAGTGGATGGTTCTGTGGGTTGGTAGTTATCAGGGTATGTGCGGAAGGCACCGATCTCGACGCGGCCTGCGCTGATGGTACGATCTGGGTCAATAACCACTGCGACGAAAGGATCGTTGAATTTCTGCTGCATGCTTTGTGTGCCGACGTCGATGCCGCTGAGCCAGCAGCCGTAGCCGGGGTGACTATGGTACCAACCCACAACGTTTTCTTGACGGCTACCTTGGTCGCGGGAGAGCTGTAGGTATTGAATCATGTATTCATTGGCATCGTCCTGAGCATTAACACGCGTCTCTGTGCCCTCTACGGGGAGACCAAAAGCATCCGTAATGACAATAGTGTCGCCGTCCGTGTAGCCTTGCATCAACCCCATAACTTCGATAGAGCCGCCTGTTCTGGCGTGCATGACCATCTTGATGAGGGCGACGGCGCTGATGCGTACATGTTGAAAGTGGTTTGGGTTATCTTTCCAGGGTTTTGCAGAGTTTACTTCGGTCTGGCGGTCGTCGGAGTAGTTGTAGAGGGCGTCTCGTACGGGATCGACAAGCTTGATGTCGTTATCGAGCTCTACGCGGGGCTGTTTGTTAGTACATATGGTATTTTCTTTGAGAATTTGGATAGTTATAGGAATAGGAGAAGGAAGTAGTATAAAAGCTTACCCCACGATTTCATTGCCACCTCCATCTTGGCTGACTAGATTTATTGTGATCGCTAACAGTCAAAATTAGCAGATTGATGTAAGTTGTTATAATGGGCGGAATCGTGAACTGTAGGATGGATGTAGGCAGTAACGTGGGGTTAAAGATAAAGGATAAGAGAAGCTTCGATAAAGATCAAGTTATTTGTTGCATATATCTGTTCAATGAATATCTTATTTTAGGTACCTTATCTTTATGCAAGCCTGACTTAGAATCTTCGAAGCTGTAAAAGTCCTTATCGATAACGCCTTAAATTTCGAGCCTCATCAAGGATCCACTTCTTTCATCTTCAAGATCGCGCAGTTGAACTCTGGGGAAGAGAGAACAATTGTCACGTCATGACTAGATCTACTATAGTAAGACCGCTACGGCAGGTCTTATCTAGACCATTAGTAGGTTCTCCAGGAAATGAAGTTCCAGAACAACTTAATTGACATCCCAAAGGTCCAACCGCCGCGAAATACCCTAGCAGGTATCGTGAGCGCCCGCACACAAGCCTCGGTGTAAGGCTCGACTTGTAGTTCGAATGGGTCAATGATTTTTATTTGACTAACTTAATCATCAGGGCCGATCCTAGCACTAATTCAAAATCTGGACCTCCCCAACTCGTGTATGTATACGGATTTAAGCCCCTCAGACAATGCGCAATGACTTATACGATTTCCAGAAACGAGTTACCAGATCCCCGCGAAGAGAACGAAGTCCGACTTCCCAGGGCCGTCCAAGCCCTCTACCTCCAGCCTCTGCGACGAGAAGCCCAGTATGGAGTCCCTTCGTGCGACTTACAGCTACGGTCTTTCAGCGTACCCAACCTCGAGTTCTTCTGCGACTTTGCGCTCCGAGCCGCATACTACCTAAACCTCCCGGCATTCGGCCCTGTACCTCTTCCTAAGATTATTGAGCGATGGACGGTGCCAAAGAGTCATTTCATCTTCAAGAAGTCGCAAGAGAACTTTGAGAGGGTCACGAGGAGGAGATTGATTCAGATTAGGGATGGACATCCCGAGACGGTACAGATCTGGCTAGCCTACCTGCAGAAGCACGCATACTATGGTATTGGTATGAAGGCAAATGTGTGGGAGTTTGACAGCATTGGTAAGTTTGGCATTGTTAAAGTCATTATAGTGCTATGATTACGGTTGGCTAATTTAGACATATAGGTACCGGTAAGAAGGCGGACGCACAAGAGAAATCTCTACAGGAGATAGTAGAACAGAAGATGGAAAGCTTTGGCAGAGACAAGACAATGGGCACGGTAGAGAAGGTGAAGGAGTTGCTAGCTAGCGAGAGGTTCAAACATACGAGATAAATGCTATACTGTCTCATCTGTACAATGAAGTTAATATACTTATTGCAACAACAATTAAATATGCGTACCAATGAATTGAATATAACTCTTGAAGTTATTCACAACTTTATATGTAATGTATTTGCTTTAAATGACTTATACGGGTGGGTGAACTACGATATCAAGAACCGAGAATAATGTACAGTGTATATATACACAGTATCTACTGTGATTAGTCCAAAATTCATCTCATTCGAGAATCTTTTCAATTATCCGACTTACACACAATGATAGGAATGCTTCGAGGTCTTATTCTTATAATTGATCTTTTACTATTAGTATAAACAATTTAAGTTGTAAGATATTTATTTTCACATTTCATATTTATAGAATGTATTACTGATAAATTACACAGGTCCTTTCTTTTAATACAGCAAATACCCTCGAGACTCAGACTCCAGCACAGATTGAGATATATCATATATATTTAAGGGCTTAGGCGTCTGAGTAGATGCGCCGAACACTCTGTACCCGCTGCAGGCCCTTGGCTGGCCTAACGCGAAGACAGGCCATACGTCCAGCAACATACCAGCAAAGACGTAACGAGTCTACTCTTAGCAGCGATGTCAGTACCGATGAGCCAGGGGAAGTGATGAGGAAACGCAAGCCAAACGTCATCTTCTCAGGCATCCAGCCCACCGGTGTCCCGCACCTAGGAAACTACTTAGGGGCATTGCGGCAATGGAGGAAGCTTCAAGATGATGCGGAGCCCGAGGATAAACTGCTCTTCTCCGTCGTAGACCTCCACGCCATCACCATGCCTCAAGACGCCAAGGTCCTACGCATGCAGCGCCGCGAGATGCTAGCCGCGCTGCTAGCTATCGGCCTCGACCCGGATAAAGGGTCTACGATATTCTTCCAGAGCTCTGTGCCCCAACATACCGAGCTCATGTGGATTCTTAGCTGCACGGCGTCGATGGGGTATCTGGGGAGGATGACGCAGTGGAAGGTAAGTTTTCTCTACCCCTTTACTCTTTTCTAATCCATGATTATTTATCATGTCTAGATATGAATGTCTAACTTGGATATACAGAGCAAACTCCAAATGAACAACAAAGCAGGCGACCTCGAAGAAGAATCCATGACAAACCTAAAGCTAGGCCTATTCTCGTATCCCGTGCTCCAAGCAGCCGATATCCTAGTGCACCGCGCAACCCACGTCCCCGTCGGCGACGACCAGCGGCAACACCTAGAGTTCGCGCGCGAGTGTGCGACTAATTTTAACCACACGTTCAAGAACATCCTCGTCCCGCCCGAGACCATAACCAGTACGTTTCTCCTCTCCTCTCCTCTCCTCTCTCCTCTATTTCTAATCCCACTCCTCTTCTCCCCCCTTCCCTATATATACCTATACACACATCAAAAACACATTAACCAACCACCAAACCAGCCCCCTCCCCCCGCATAATGTCCCTAACAACCCCGACCTCCAAAATGTCAAAATCAACACCCAGCCACCGCTCCCGCATAACCATAACCGCGCCCCCCAACGAGATCCGCTCGCGCATCAAGAACGCCGTAACCGACAGCCACAACACCGTGACCTACGACCCCGAGATGCGGCCCGGCGTCGCCAACCTGCTCGAGCTGCTATCGCAGTGCGGCAGCGCCGAGGGAAGCCGGAGCCTGCGCCCCGACGAGCTGGCCGTCCAGCTTTCCGGCGCCTCGCTCAAGGATCTGAAGGAGCTCGTGGCGGAGGCCGTGTGCATAGAGCTGCACGGGGTGAGGGACCGACACGATGAGTTTTTGAATCGGAAGGGGGGCAAGTGGCTTGATGAGATTGAGGCCGAGGGCGCAGAGGTGGCGAGGCGGAATGCGGAGGAGACGATGAGGATGGTGAGGGATGCGGTTGGGTTGGGGTCGGGGGCGCAACTTTTCTAGGGTAAGAATAGAAAAGTGCATTAGAGAAGCTAAAGACGTGTATTATACTCGACAGTTACGATAGACGTAGCATCATCATAGCTAACATTTGTAGTATTATTCACAACTTCACTACAAACTACTACGGCGGAAATAGGCAATCGACAAAGTTACAGTACGATGAATTCAGCATTTCATTTTAGACGTAGCCTAGTCTAGAATTGCACACTGGATCTTGTCCAATCTGTAATAGCCTTCGCGCCGGCTAGCCTGAACGATGCTAACAGTGATATTCCGAGTAAGTTATCACGATGTATACGCAAAGTTAGATCCTCTACAAGCTAGCCAAAATGATCGAACGAGAGCATTAGTTGTTCGCTGACCACGTAGCCTATACCGAAATGTCAGTTCCATTACGACGTGTCAGTAAATAATGCTTGGTAAACTTACATAATTACTTTCTTGAGGAATAGTTCCTTGTCCTCTGGTGACACTTTGTCGCTAGGGAAGGCCGGATCTTGTAAGGCTGCTCCTAACCACTGACGAGCATTGACCTGCTGCGCTACCAGCTTCTTGAGCGGCTCGCTAAGCTTGTCGAGTTCGCTTCTCGCTGCCTTGCCTCCGATGTTCTGTATGAGTGATTCGGACAACCTAGGGCCTAGATATGTTATCGCGTTTTCTACAATAGCTGTAGTGTTCTCATCGGTTGTTCGGAGTGAAATAAATGTAGACTAATGCCCGTACAGTCAGTTTTACCAATACTTCTTATACCTCCAATGATGACTAACCCAGAAATCGGCCGCTGCTGCTTTGGGTAATGGTTCATTTCCATTTAGTAGCTTAATGGCAAACATGAAGAGGAACTCAAGCATATTTGCGGGTTGGGACATAAGTATCTCTGGGCGCTTCGACATAACTCTCTGGGCAAATTCAATACCATACTGTGCCAGCTCAGGATCTTGCTCGGGTTCTACAATAACGTTAATGATATATCATAAGTGAGGTATCGTTCGATAGCCGCACAAAGACCCATAAAGGAGCTATCGGTACCTTAAATACTAGAATAGCTACTCACCTGAAAGCTGACTTAGTAGGCTAAAAACCCATGGTAAGAGTTGACTGAGGACCTCTGATATGCAATTCTTTTGGTTTCCGCTGCTAAGAGACGTGATAAATACACTTGCTGTATTAACCACTGTAGCAACACGATTATTCCACCTGCTCGTGATGAACTCGGTGACCATCTGTGGAGGAAATACGAACGGTCCCGGCTCAGTTTCTGAGAAGCCGGCACGAAGGATACTACAGATAACGTCGATAACTTCGCTATTACACGAAAATGTCTCCTTAAGCCGAACTAGAATGCTCTAAAACCACTATCAGCTACCTCTTTCAAAACGACGCAGAACATACTTACCATGATATCAATTTGTATCTGTTGCAGGTCAGAATTGGATGACACTTGAGTACCTTCGTCGTCAGCTTCCAGGTCTACAAGGGCTTCAGAGGGCGCCTGAATTCCCTTGGCGATGCTACAAAGGCAGCGAAGAGCTCGAGTGGCTAGATTCAATGATATTTCAGATGCAGGAACGGGTGCGTCCGGGCGCTGTGCAAAATCATAGGCTCGTATTATCACCTATTCTATATTAGAAACCAATTATCACCGACTAAGGCACACTACTCTCGTTTCTAACACCGCAAAACTTACCGGATTATCAGGAGGCAAGAGAGATCCTTCGCCATAAGATGAGAGTTGCAAACTGGTCTCAACATCTACCCCGACCATGGTGAGCAACCTCTTAAAGGCGTTCGCCTTCCGCGTATCCTCGGGGACTGCCTGTATGATCGATGCAATAGCACCAACAACCCTCTCTTCGGCTAACGAGTCAAGTTCACTACTGCGTAGTGTTGCGTATTGTTCGAGGAAAGTATCAACTTCAGGTGTTAAAATTGATCGACAGGATGAGCAGAGTGTGTAGATCGATTTCGACGAAGGCAGTGCAAGATGCCTATCGCCTACCGCGCTAAAGAGTAAATTTAGAGCAGCGGGTAAGAACTCTGCGTGATGGCCAAAGTATTCTGAGTAACGTTCTATGAGGGAGAGACACGTCTGTCTCGCCCGGACGGGTACCACGCTCTGCCCCTGACATAATAAATCAAATAACGACGAGCCGAATATTTGAGTTAATATGTCATCGAATAAACTTTCATCTGGCAGACAATCAGATAGAGAGCCTAAACAAAAGGCCGCAGCTTCAAGCTCCGCCCAGGCTGATCTTGGTAAGGCTTCCAGCATGTTTTTCGCAAAGATGGAGACCAACTCTTTACCAATTATCGTATACACGGACTGTAGAAAATCGGCAACATCTTTTCGCGCATCTCCAAAGGCGACTCTTTCCGTAGAGTCCCAAGAATTATAAATGGTGATGTGAGGATACTGTATCTTGCGCGAACTCTCTGAGACGGCTTGCATTATTTGCAATACCGGTGGTTTATCCCACTGCCTATCTCTAGTTGAGTCTTCGTATAAAGTCCCTGCTAGGATTTCAACGAATGTCCCCCAGAATTCGAGAGCTGGAACGAATATCTTATCATCCACCCCGGGGTACCCCTTTGCGCTCAACAAGCCGACCAGCATAGCAAGGAAACGTTGGGCTCTTTCGTTGGTTCCATCTACCAAATCTATTGCCTGTGCATTACCGAAGGACAGCATAAAAAGTCCAAAATGAACGTCGTCGTCATCCATCTCCTCACTCTCGATTAGACTACGATATCTACCCCGGGCCCAGTCACTTTCAAAAACCGAGTATAGGGATTCGATGTGATCTCCAACAAAGAATGATGGCCAATCTTCTAAAGCCTCAGTAAGAAGCCCAACGGCAACGTCATATAATTCGGCGTGAGGGAGACAGTTGATAACAGGGCCAACTAGTTTCCGAAACTGCTGGATTAATGGCTGCTTGGAACTTCGTTGGACATATTGGAGCCATGCTTGCAGACAACTTATCGAGTCCGCCGGACGGGTATTGCGGTCGCTAACAGGTTTAATACCATAAACCAAGAGTACCACAACGTCAGCGGCATTATTCGCCAGCCGCTCATGTAGGGGGATATACTTGACAGGCTTGGCGTCAATCTTCTCTGCTTCACTAGGCAAGATTTGTGCAAACCACGACACCGCGTATAAGTTTTCAACATCCAATGACTGGACTATATCCTCATAGGGAGAGGCATAATCAGCATCTTCGATAGGTACATAGATGCGGCTATCTAAGCAATATGAAAGATGGTGTATGCATCTGGGCCAGGTATGCGAGTAGTGGATAAAGTAGGTGACTAGAGTACTGCAAAGTTTCTTAACGACGAAACCCGCCGTTCCATCTCTCAGGGAAGTGATAAGGAAACCGATGAGTTTCTGAAGAACGGATACTGAGTCCTCATCCGATAAACTATCTACGAGTGAGCAACAGAAGTTTCGGACAACCTATCAGAGAATTACCTTTCGGTATTTAATTTCACGGTGAATGTTAATGCACCAAAAAACTTGACATTTTGATCTGGTCGACTTAGTAGGCCATCTGCAAGTTGCCACCCACCAGGAGACTTTTGGAGGGTCTGAAGGATTTCTTGGATACGGGAGATAGTTTGAGGGGGGTTTGGCTTATACAGCTCATGAACCAACTATGAAGAGTATTAATATAATAGTCTAAGAAATCTGAATATGCTAACTTACATGCTCGACTTCAGGTAGAGTAATAGTTTCAATCGATATGTTTTCCATGGTCGTTTTGGTTTTCGTGAGATGCCTCATCCATATCGGGAAACTAACGAGTTGCAAGGTTTGGTTATGGAATTTGAAGACAGCCAATTCATCCGTGCGCGAGAGGCCAGATGCTTGTAGAATCAAAGAGACGAGGCTGAGATACGTGTTAATCGAGAGTCCCCTGTAGAAAAAATAAAAAAAAATACATATAACAAATTTGACAGATTAACGACGTACTTATTCTCTACCTTGAATACTCATAGGTAAAGTAAAGAGGCTATAGACCAATTCTAATTCACTATTAGGCTTCTCTAAGTGTAACAGGAGCCAAGAATTGAGATAAATGGATGAGTGATTGGAATTCGCTATCCGCTTTGCTTTAAACGTTAGTAAACCTGGAAGGTACCAGCAAACTTATACATAAGGTACAAGGGCTTAGTGCCCAATTTTGATAGTGGGGTTTCTGTATAATATGGAGGTACATACGTGTACCGTCGCGTGAGAGGCACGGATGCTTTGCACATGCCGGTAAGTATAGAACTTAAATTGTATCATATTATTTTCCGAAGTCAACCCATATTCTGTGTATCCAACAGAATTAATTGTTTAATTCCGAAGTACCGATGGGGAATATCCACTTTAGGAGTACATTAGATACTTTCAACCCACCAAAGTTCTCCATCCCACCTTTTCTTAAGTCACCTCAAGATCTAACTTCTCTAACCTTAGCAACTTCATCTACCGTTCAATGAAAAGCGTCAACTAAGAGTATTTACTACAGATACTGGATTCTAATGGATACGACTCCTTAATAATACAATTAAAGCCTCTCGGATTTTTTCAAAGCTATTTACGCTTAGGCTTGTGGTATCTTAAAGTTGGTTCCCTAAGCTAGACTCTGCTGGGTTGCGGCAGTTGGTGTTCGGCAATATCGTTACAGTTGATGCCGATAGGAATTTCTTTGTCTTCTTGCGCATTGTATATGCCTTCGAGGACTACGTTTTCATCTATCGTTAAGATACCTAAACTCGGATCTCGACTGTGGAATCTTCGGGCTTCACCGACGACTACGTTACGCCCGATATATCGGTTTCAGAGCACTGCTACAGCCATCAATATGGAAAAGGTCGACACAACCGCTCGTCTTACCGAGCTCCGCAAGCTTATGAGCGAGAAAAAAGTTGACGTGTATAGTAGGCTAGCCAATGCATAATATTCTTGACTTCCTTGGGTTTTGGCGACTGACGATTTTCTTAAGTCGTCCCGTCCGAGGATAGCCACTCTTCCGAGTATATTGCTCCGTGTGATGCTCGACGTGCCTTCATCTCCGGATTCACTGGGTCTGCAGGCTGCGCTGTTATTACTCACGAGAAAGCTGCCTTGGCTACAGATGGTCGATACTTTAATCAAGCATCTAAGCAGCTTGACGACAACTGGCACCTATTGAAACAAGGTCTCCAGGATGTTCCAACCTGGCAGGAATGGTCTGCAGAACAGGCTGCCGATGGTAAAATTGTGGCTGTAGATCCAACCTTATTGACGAGTGGCGCTGCCAAGAAGCTCTCGGAGAAGATCAAGAAGAGCGGAGGCAAGGATCTAGCACCGGTTGAAGTGAATTTGGTTGATATAGTTTGGGGTGCTGATCGACCGTCTCGACCCAACGAACCTATAATTGTTCTGAGCGAGAAATTTAACGGAAAGGATGTCAAGACGAAGCTTACCGAACTTCGAAAGGAGCTCGAGAAGAAAAACTCGATTGGATTCGTCGTGTCTATGCTTGATGAAATTGCTTGGCTCTTTAACCTTCGAGGAAACGACATTCCATATAACCCGGTCTTCTTCTCGTACGCTATCGTGACTGCCGATGAGGCTACGCTATACGTCGACTCCTCCAAGCTAAGCAGCGAGGGCCAATCCTACCTTGCAGAGAACGGCGTTGTTATCAAGCCATATGAAGATATCTTTAACGACGCCTCCGTGCTTCGCCAATCAATCGAAATCAAGGAGTCGGGAGAAGCCACCAAGAAGATTCTTATCTCGAATCGGGCATCGTGGGCTTTGAAGCGAGCGCTTGGTGGCGAAGATACGGTGGATGAGATTCGAAGCCCCGTAGGCGATTCCAAGGCCGTGAAAAACGAATCCGAGTTGGAAGGAATGAGAGCATGCCACATCAGAGATGGTGCCGCTCTAATTGAGTACTTCGCTTGGCTTGAAGACCAGCTTATAGCAAAGAAGGCGACCATTGATGAAGTTGTAGCTGCGGATAAACTCGAAGCTCTACGTGCGAAACAGAAGGACTTTGTTGGCCTTTCTTTCCCCACGATATCATCGACAGGGCCAAAGTAAGTATACGTATTTCTGAGACTGTATCATGGCCTAGCGATTCTAACTAACCCCCTTTAGCGCCGCCGTTATTCACTACAAGCCGGAGCCTGGAAGCTGTTCAATCATTGATCCTAATGCCGTTTACCTGTGTGATTCCGGGGCTCAGTATCTCGATGGTACTACAGACACAACTCGAACATTACACTTTGCCAATCCTACTGAGGCTGAGATCGAAGCTTACACGCTCACGTTGAAAGGAAACATCGCCCTAGATAGGGTTGTGTTCCCTAAGGGAACGACAGGCTTCGCACTAGATGTTCTTGCACGCCAACATCTATGGGTATGTCTAAACCTTTCGCTCTACAAACTGCCAACTTTACTTACTCGGTGATTTAGCTTCAAGGACTTGACTACCGTCACGGTACTGGTCATGGTGTTGGTTCGTATCTGAACGTGCACGAAGGACCAATCGGTATCGGTACGAGAGTGCAGTACTCAGAGGTTTCTCTATCTGCTGGAAATGTCATCTCCAACGAGCCCGGCTATTACGAGGACGGTTCATTCGGTATTCGTATCGAGAACATCATCATGGTCAAGGAAGTACAGACCAAGTACAAATTCGGCGATAAGCCATACCTCGGCTTCGAGCATGTTACCATGGTGCCGTACTGCCGCAAACTCATCGACCCTAATCTTCTGACAAGCGAAGAGAAGGCATGGCTAAATGACTACAACGCTGACATCTGGAATAAGACGAAAGGGTACTTCGAGAATGATGGATTAACTACAGAGTGGCTGAAGAGGGAAACACAACCTTTCTGAAATGGAGGTAAACTTCCCTTTCCGATTCTAATCTGTCCGTTGCTATCTATGTAGATGCCAAAGGTACATAAAGAGCTAGAATTGCATAAAAGCAGACATTGCGAAGAATAGTCCGAAAGATAAATTAAATGCTGGATTCTTCTCCAATGCGCTTAATATACGTGAATTTCCCAACCGTTGCTTTAACTTCAGCTGTTTTACTAAATCAAGACCGTATCTTGAAGCCACCTAGACGATGTTAGAGCTAGTTAAGATGTTTAAGATGAATTTTCTAAGCTACGCACCTGAACGACCACCGCGGCGAGACCTACAAGTAACACCAACGTCCGCGAGAAAGCACTGATAAGGAGTCCTGAAATAAACCCTACCATCCTGCTTAGCTTTAAAAGTATATGGGTACGCCTAACCTGGACTAACCTGTAATGCTCCCACCAGAAAGCTGTTTCAAGAGGTCGGGATCTAATCTCTCTTTCGTAGGACGACTGCTCATTGGTCGTGGGGTATCTCTCGCGTCCATTCTCAACTTTGGCTGTCTGAACGTCGCCATACTCGTTCCAAGGGAGAGGCCAATGATGCCGGCGCCGAGGGCATGACGCGGCATGAAGGTCCGTGTTCGTGTGAGTAGTCGTGCCGACATCTTGAATTGGAGGTTTCTTTTCTCTACGTATAAGTCTTTGAGTAGGTGCTTAAGGTAGTGTGAGGCGAGAGCTATGTATATATATGTATATCCGACCAATTATAAGCTTTTTAAGATTTGTATGATTTGATTTAAAATAGATACGGTTTAAATAGAATTGACGAATGTGGCCTGTATTAATGGGAGCTTCGGATTGCTTTTTTTCTAGCTATTGACTGACGTCACTCTATTGCGGTTATGCAGCTATGCATGCCAACAGTTCAACGCCGCACATTTAGCTTCTGCTGGTTCCACCGCTAAAATCCCCTAGAATCTCCTCCACATAGGCCCCAAAATTCACGGAACTTCGGGAGAGTTTTTCTTTTTAGCTCATGCACGACGATATAATTCTTCCATCGCCTCAGCCTTGTCCAGGTTAGAGGAGTTGTCGATATCGCAAGTACGAGCATTATATTCCGACTGACTGTATTGCGGGCTTATAGAAAAGCATCGTGGTATCAAATTTAAAATGCAAAACCTGACCGTTTCCCCTCCTGCTTAGGCGGGTCACCTCTCTTACTCCTAAAACGCCAGTTCACTTTCCCCTGACCCAACCGGCTGAACGCCCTGGTATCTAATCGCCTCGTCTCCCCGTCAACAGACCGCTCTTTATACACGCCTCCCTCTGCAGGTAAGTGGCCTTAGCCGATGCAGGGATGCCGACTTTCGCGGGTGCAAGAACCCGCTGTATCATTTCGATAGGCATTATTTGCTACGGTTTTTCTTTAGCCAAGGCCGCCCCATACGCCACGTATTCTTCTCGCGAGCTGGATATCTTTCTGCATGATGGTAACTCGTTTCGCATGGATGGCGCATAGATTCGAGTCCTCGAATAAGTGGACAAGGAAAGCCTCGGCTGCTTCCTGGAGCGCTAATATAGCCTGCGATTGCCATCGCATGCCTTCGTCTACTGGTCGCATAGTTAAAGCTATTTCTCGAACCTGGATATCGGTTAGCATATACTACTCTTGAAGCTAATTATATCCAAGGAGAACATACGAGTCGGGAGAAAGGTAGTTTTCGTAGTAGCAGATCAGTGTTGTTTTGCAGCCTTCGGATTTCCCTCAGCGCAACCGTTCCTGGTCTGTATCTTCTTCTTCGAGGGTAAGGAATTGGATCGCCAGCTACAGATCAATTAGCTATTGCAGCTTCAAGCTGGTATTAGCTTATAGACTTACGTTGTACTCTTGATGCTAAAGAGCCTCCACCTCGTCCTCCTCGTCCACCACCGCGACCTCCACCGCGACCCCGATTCATTTTTGGACTAGTAAATACGGTATGCTAGCGTAAAGAAAAGGTGCGAGAGTCTTTTGGTGCTAATGCGACAATTATGCGACTTGGTATAGCGCACAATGGGTATCTTGCGTCGAGGTAACTAGGTTTAAAGAAATTGGAGTATAGTCGAAGAATAGGTATTATAGGTGAAAGCCGTCTTGTCAAAGAGAACCAAGGTTTGTTGCGTTGAGTAACAAACGGTATTAGAAGTAGCGTATTAACTATGAAAGAAAGAGGGAAGAAAGAATGTAGCATGAACCCGGTTTACGAAGAATAATATGGGAGTGCGGAAATGGTAAAAATCGAAGTGGCTGGGAAATTCAATTCGCAACTTCCTACTCTAGATCCATGGGACGCGACTTGAGCACGCCCCGCGACACGCGACCCAGCCATTTCAATTAAAACCCCTGCAAATCTTAAAACTAGTGGGTCCTATGGTGTACCCCTGGCGTATCCTCACAATTCAATGAAATTAGCTGAAGAAGTTTCTAGTGTACATAGCCACAAGCAAGCCACAGCTTTTATTTTAGGTACGTACCTTCTATAGAAGTCACGTCATTTGATTCACGGGAAAATGCAAGATTATGATATAATTCATTTAACCGACAAATAAGATCTTGTGCCATCTGTAACCTCTAATTGCTAGCATTTTTAGTGGACTACGTAACCTATCCATGCGTTAGTTCCGAACAGATCAATCCTCCGATAAGGCCAGATTAGCAGTGGGCTGAGGAGGCAATCCCGCCATCGTCTTAAACCTACAACATCAAACTTCCTTTGAAACCTTTCTTTCTTCTTTTTTCCCTCTTGCTGCTCATCCTGTGTAATCTTTAACGCATACAGTTAATACATTGTCCTTTTTTTGAGGTTAAGAGCCTAAATAAATCTATTGCCCACGTTCCCTATACAACCGACGGTCGCAATTCGATATGGATCAGATGATTCCTGGTGATGGGGGCCGAAACCCACTTGAAGCCTGGTTCTGGGAGATGCCCATATGTACGAGGTGGTGGACGACCGCGACTGTTTTGACAAGTGCTCTGGTTCAATGCCAAATGGTCACTCCGTTCCAACTATTCTATAGTGTTCGCACCGTATTTCAGAAAGGAGAGGTAAGAATTCCATGTGTCCCGACAAAGGGAACCAAGATGGTTGTTGGCTTGCTAACCTGTTCAACTTATAGTATTGGCGATTATTGACTACATTCCTATACTTTGGACCGTTCTCGTTCGATCTCCTTTTCCATGTATACTTCCTCCAACGTTACTCTCGGCTCCTTGAAGAGTCATCTGGCCGGTCGCCAGCTCATTTCTCCTGGTTAATGGTATATACCATGGCCTTCCTTATCGTTCTATCTCCATTTGTGTCGATGCCATTCCTCGGCCATCCGTTATCGTCAACCCTAGTCTATATCTGGTCCCGACGAAACCCAGATACTCAGTTAAGCTTATTGGGCTTGTTTGTGTTCACAGCACCGTATCTTCCCTGGGTATTGATGAGTTTCAGCCTTATTATGCATGGGACTGTACCTAAGGATGAGATCATGGGGGTTGTTATAGGCCATATCTGGTATTTCTTCTCGGATGTGTACCCCCCTATGCATAACGGTTCGCGACCTCTTGACCCGCCAATGTGGTGGCGTCGACTCTTTGAGGGCCGACAGCAGAGGGACGAGACAGCTGATGCGATTAATAATGAATTCGCAGTAGCAGGAGGTCCAGAACTTGCTGCAGCTGACTTGCGATAAGCAAGAACAACATAACTGGATTCAGATAGTGTTAGAAGGCTATCATTCACTCATTCCTAGCGTTTTAGGTCAGATTCCAATGGCATTCGGTTAAAGTGGCGTTATTCAAGGGACGATACGGGGCGTTGAAGGTTAATACAGAACAAAACATGGCAACAATACAGATGATGCCTTTTGTACATACTGTTCAGCCAACTTTTTGCGTTGAATGTCTATAAGGTCTGGAATTACTTGTTTAGCCTACCTACAGTGGCGTTCAATAGAAAACTATTGCGTTAGAAATCATGGAGTAATAGAAAATTCCTATCAACTTCCATCTGTTTTGGTCGTCTGCCTTTTAACTATAAATTATATTATATTAATTTATGTTTAAGACATAAGAGTTAGCTTTAACCTGTAGTAGCTAGAGTATTTAAAGATTGAATTTACTATTATAAATAAGTCTATTAGCCCCTTAGTTCTATTGCATCATGCAATGAGTCTTCACCGAACCAAAGAATCGCTTTCATAGGTTTAATTACATACATAGTATAACGTCTTAATACTACTATATCCACAGATAAAGATTCTATATATTATAGCCTGCTTTATAGGACGCCAACTAAGCTATTTCCGCCAATGAGCATCTTACTTTTAGAAATGGCGGGATAAAGCTTTGGACCCCACCAAAAAGGGAAAGAAAAATGAGAAATGCCCGGCTCTCCGACGTCACACCCTTCCCACCTGCAACTCAGCTGCTGGCGCCATCGCGAATTGGGGGCTTATATACGAAAGACGGCCACCCAAAATTATTTAATAACCACCTTTTCAAGTTTTTTTTATCCCTTTCTTCAATTTGCATAAATCATTCAAGTATATAAAATTCTAATTCAACTTCTCATTGCGGATTTAAACACTATTGAAAATGCGAGCATACTTGTACGATAACGCTCCTGTAAGTCATCAGATAAAAAAATAAAAAAAAGTGCCCCTCATCACATCATCGCGGGATGTTTTCGCGAAAGCGCCCACTCGCATAGTTCAACAGACTGCTGCGAACTTACGATGTAGCACGACTACGTGATACTGACAACCAAACAGGGCGACCAGCGACTACCGCACGACTCTGGTAAGGGCGTAGATGCTGCCGCCTTGGAGAAATTAGGCGTGCTATACTTCCGGTACCCAGAGGTGTCGGCCGTCGATGAGCTGGCAAGCAAGCGCGGGTACAAGAACCGTGACGAAATCACAGTCTCCCCCGAGAAGATGGGCGATATATATGAGGAGAAGGTTAAGTCCTTCTTCCACGAGCACTTGCACGAGGATGAAGAGATCAGATATATCCGCGACGGCCAGGGGTACTTCGACGTGCGAAGCAAGGGCGACGAGTGGGTGCGCATCCAGCTTGAGAAGGACGACTTGATCATCTTGCCTCCGGGTATCTACCACAGGTTCACTACTGATGAGAGCAACGTATGTTATATTCCTTCTCTAGTATATATATATATATATATATATGCATCGAGAAATCTAATGTCTGTGCTAGTATATCCAAGCTATGCGCCTTTTCAAGGACGAACCCAAGTGGACGCCGCTAAACAGGTCCGGCGAGCTAGATGAGAACCAGTTCCGCAAGGAGTACGTTTCGCATTACCTGAACTAGGTCAAGTGGTGGTGATGCAAAGGGTTACGAAGTTACGTGTTCTACGGGTGGTCTAGCGGATGTAGCGGTAGCAATACTCGAGTCTTAGGCGTGCTAGTTCTTTTGTTGATAGAAGATCCCTCGACGATATCACGAATTAGAAAAAAAAAATGAATATTGCGTAATTTTAGTTTAAGCACTTCGTATTAAAATACATGAAGCTTTTTTATATTATTACGATGAATTCTCATTAACCTGGGAGTAAAGTCTCACCAGAGGAACTATTTTTATAAAACGCTCAAAATAGCACAAGCCTTACGTACCTAAGTTCAATAATCTCGGCAATGAGATTGCGGGGATTATTATTAAATGTGTATACCCCAGCTAGAACCCCAACTTCTCTCCCCCTTCCAAAAAAAGACCCCGTTAGATGATGCCGTGCGCCTCGGAACAGACGAATGGGAACCGCGAAATGATGAGCTTACTCCCCAAACCGCAGTCAACCGATCATGGACTCTAGATCCGCGTCCGAAGTCGCTCACCCGTCGCCGGCGGCCAGCACCTCCGCCAGCACGCCCAAGGGGAAATTGCTGCTCCCGGCTAGCTGCGAGCCTCCGCTGCCGAACGCGCCGAGGAAGCAGCTCGTATGGATTGTAAGTTAGCTATTCGTATTGCTAATTCAGAGTGTTATATATCTTCATAAGGTATCTAGTTATAGGAATGGGACTAATTGAATTGCTAATTAGGTCTTTGGCGGCACTGGCCATATGGGCCGCTCGCTGGTCAAATGCGCGCTGGCGCGGGGTGATTTGGTAACGGATGTAGGACGCACGTTTGAGAGCTCGCCTGAGGAGATGTCGGGTCAACATGAGAATTGTCTTGGCCTGCTGTGCGATGTGCGCGCACGGCAGAGTGTAGCACAAGTCATTGAGCGGACGTTGGATCACTTCGGTCGCATCGACGTGGTGGCTAACTGCTCAGGATACGGCGTGATTGGAGCATGCGAGGATCAGGACGAGCATGAGATTCGCAACCAGTTCGAGACTAACTTCATGGGCACTCTACATATCATCCAGGCCACTCTTCCTTACTTCCGCCAGCAGAATTGCGGGCGTTATCTCATCTTTAGCTCTACGAGTGGAGCCTTGGGTGTACCTGGACTAGGCCCTTACTGCGCGACCAAGTACGCGGTAGAAGGGCTGATCGAAGCGATGCTCTATGAGATCGACTCGTTTAACGTGAAGGCTACTCTAGTAGAGCCGGGATTAGTAAGGCGCGACGAACCGGATGCTGAAGCCAATCCGCTGCCGACATGGGGTCACTTCCTCATCAAACAGCCAAGCGAGGCATACGGGCACTCGTCGTCGCCGGCGCTGCATGCGAAGCGCATGGTACAATGGCTCGGGGACCGACAACCGACAAGCGCGGTTAAGTGCGCCGAGTTAGTGTGGCAGCTAGCACACTGCTCGTATCCGCCCCTACGCCTCGTTCTCGGTAGCTACGCCATCGAAAGTATTCGGGACCGCCTTAGATCTGTCACGGAAGAGCTCGAGGACTGGAAGCATCTTAACTATCCTGCAGCGCCTGATACCGAGGCCGCTGCTGCTTCGGCAGAGAAGAATGAGAAGGATGACGATACGGGGGATTCGAATGTTGAGATGCAGGATCATGCTACTTAGGCTTGGGAACTTGGATTGGCTACTTTGGGCTAGAATAGGGGGTTACGTGGACATTTCACGTTGTCGTTGAGAATATAGCACGAACTGGTTACATAGAAAGCTCAAACACACTATTTGGCATGGGCGTTAGTTGGGCGTGTTACTATATTGCTAGGTACTGAATTATAAAACTTGTTTGAGGTTATTTAGGTAGTTAATTAGTTAACATTAGCGAAGATTCCTATTTGTCAATTATAGTTTGTCTGAATAGGAGAGCCAACCGCAAACATGCTGTTGCTGGCTTGTAATAATTCAGACAGGTGAATGAATAAAAACAGCGATATGTATCACTCGAGGCTTAACATTTAAATGAGAGAACCCTGATTGGCTTTTTGTACGGGAACATTGATGATTCTAAATTTACAACGCCAAGACAAAACTAAGATTGTATAGCTAGCGTACAAGCCTCATCTTAGACGCCACATGTGATTGTAGAGTCTACCTACCTATGTATCTGTGTAGTCCTGCATTTTATCTCGAGGTCTGTCTACCTGCACGCGGTAAATTACCCTTGATTAATGTAATAAAAAATCCTTTGGCACGCGTCCGTAAGAAACCTCCGCTGAAGATTTTCTTTTTTTTTATGTTTCAATTTCATACTTGACTTTTTCTGTCTTGGAATTTTTGATTCACCCTATAAAAAGATAAATTAGGTAAACCCTTTCCCGGTTTCGATTTATTTTCTGCGGACCCTTCGAATCTACAAAAATACTTGGTCGCAATCTACGCGTTAATCGGCTCCACAGTTTCCGGGCGCAGCGCCGTTTGACAGATAGCCAACTCTTTTTTCTTTTCCCCTGATTTTATTTTATTAGTTCTAAGTCACTCTTCCGATCTTACTTCCTTCGCCCTAACCCTTCGAAGTTCGAACACCGCCAGACTGAAAATAGAACATCCCCCTCCCTTCTACCGTTCGGGTTTTCAAAATAAAGGCCAATACAGCTAGCTAGTTACCTTATAACGTCGCAATCATGTCCGACAAGAAGAACGAAGACTATGCTATTCGTATGCCCGACACGGGTTTGCGAAGCCCTTATGACGGCGGAGAGAAGGATCCCTTCATCCCGTCCCGCCCTTCGCGCGCCGCTTCCCAACAGCAGCTCTCTTCCCAGATCGCCAAGATTGAGAATAACCCGACTGTCTCTATTCTTGCCTACTGTCTGTCCTCGATTAGTATGACCGTCGTCAACAAATACGTCGTGTCCGGCTCCGATTGGAACTTGAACTTCTTCTATCTCGCAGTCCAGGTACTACTATACGATAACATCTACGATGTATAAGACTTGGAATTTGCTAACTCTAGAACTCTAGTCCATTGTGTGTATAGTAACCATCGAGGTCTGCAAGCAATTGGGTTTAATCAAGACCCTTGCGCCTTTCGACGTAAACAAGGGGAAGCGATGTACGTGTTTTATTTTCTTGGTTGCCTTGAGACCCCTGTCTATCTATATATACATATAGTATATGTGTATATATATACTAACTCGATTGCAGGGTTCCCCGTCTCTCTTCTCCTCGTCGGTATGATCTATACGAGCACAAAGTCGTTACAGCTCCTGTCCGTTCCCGTCTACACCATCTTCAAGAATTTAACCACCATCGTTATCGCATATGGCGAGGTTCTATGGTTCGGAGGTAGTGTCACGCCTCTGGCACTCCTTTCGTTCGGTCTGATGGTTATGAGTTCCGTCATCGCGGCTTGGGCCGACACGCGCAGCGCTAGTCAAACTGCCGAGGCCGCTGAGGCTCTTGCGTCCCTGAATGCTGGATACGCTTGGATGGGTCTAAATGTCTTCTGCACTGCTTCCTACCTTCTGAGCATGCGTAAGGTTATTAAGAACATGAACTTCAAGGACTGGGATAGTAAGTTTTATTTATTACGCTCCTCGCGGTTTGTTTGCTAAATATGCTAACTCAACACAGGCATGTTCTACAACAACTTCCTCACCATTCCCGTCTTAATCGTCTGCTCGCTTATCACCGAAGACTGGTCCAGCGAGAATTTGGCCAAGAACTTCCCCACCGAGTCTCGAAATGCTATTTTGATTGGTATGATCTACTCGGGTATGGCTGCTATCTTCATCTCGTACTGCTCTGCGTGGTGCATCCGAGTTACATCCTCCACCACCTACTCTATGGTTGGAGCTCTCAACAAGCTCCCGCTCGCCGTCAGCGGTCTTATCTTCTTCTCTGCACCTGTCACCGTAGGCAGCGTTTCGGCCATTTTGATCGGGTTTATCAGTGGTCTTGTATACGCTTGGGCCAAGGTGCGACAGTCGCAGCTGGCCAAGAACTCGCTACCGACCACGCAGCCTACGATGAGCGCAAGCTCCCAGAGCAATCGCGACGCTAACTCGTAGACGAGAGCACAATGCTTTCTGCAGGTTTCGCGGCGATGTTCTTGGCACCGACTGCATGGCCACTTCGAGCCAGTGCAATTCTAAACAGGCGGCAGACACTGCAAGACAGTCAAGCAGCACCACGCCTCCTATGTCGGCCAACGTCACTGTATAATATCTATCCCATCCCATCCCTTTCGACTCGGTGGCGCCGGACAGACGGGCCGATGAATTTCTGGTATAGACTTTTTAACTTATAATGAGAAAACGGAGCTCTACGGATACGGGGAGGGAAAGTCATAGTAATTCATCATCATCATGTTTTTTTTTCTGGACGGCGCAAGAACAGGAACGAAAACCCCTTGATCCCTCCCCCTTTTTTTATTATCATGTCATAGTTGTTTTATTTGCAGGGGAGGTGTAGGCATCGTTCATGTCGAGATAGGCGTCGTGTCCGTAGTCGCAGTCTAGATCTCGACTATGCGGGAAATGCTATGCATATTGTTGAATTGGTGTTGAGGGGGGGATGGGGAGAAAGAGAGAGCATGTCACATACAAATACATATGCGTACGATCGTACGAGCTGGTCTATCTGAGCAGTCGTAATACACCAACTAACTACCGGCTTATGGCCTAACCATATAGATATCAGACCTTGATGTTTCTGATGTAGGCATTGCCGGGATAGTCATAGATAATACGATGAGGCTAAGTTAGAAATGACTACCTTAATGACTACCTAATCAACCTTATACTCGAAGCTACAATTTGTGTTTGATTGAATTAATATTTCATCCTTTTGATTTGTCTCATTAAAAACCTTCATTCCCTATACCTTACCTACCAATCGTTGATGTGTTCAATAGACCTTCCTCTTTTCTGCACTCACTTTTCACCCTAAAACAAAAAGCCTTGTCGAATTCCATTCCTGTTTCGTCCGCCAGTAAAGAGGAATTTCCAATCTATCCAGACCCTTAACACGGTCGTACTTTTGGCTTAGAGCAGCCTATGAAACTACACCCTCTTCCCCCATTGACTCAGTTATATCAAGGGGCCAATTTTAATACTTCCCACTAGTATCGAGCCGTCAGTCACCACCATTCCGATTCCACCGCCGGGGTACTGCGCATCGCGTGCCGAGAGCTCGGTTTTGCCGACTCGGGCATACAACAAGTCGCCTGACACTTTGAGAGTCACGGTATATGGTATATCGTACTGCCAGTCGAATTCCACGCTAGCTAGTTCAATGCGCTCGTAATCAAGGGCTTTGACAAGCGCTATACGCTTCTTGGAACCGCTGATATTGGCAGTGCCCTTATAGAAAAGAAGTGCGTAGTATCTATTCAACCCTCGTACCCGGGCCGCAACGCCGGCTGGTCCGCCGATATTCACAACAAAGTCCCTGAATATGGCCCTGTAATTTGTCCAGTCTCGCGTGCCGTAGCTGACGATGCCTTCGCCTTGATCCTGGGCTACCGCGAATGTACCGCTAGAAAGGGAGAACACGTCGGCGCCATTGACGAAGGACCTCTTGTAGAAGGTCCGGGGCCCATCTCGGTAGTTGCCTGGTTCAAGGACGAGAGCTGGCGTGCCATCCCATCGCAGATATTCTAGCCATATACCCTCCTCTTCACTTTCGTTTGTGGAGAGGTTTCTCTTGCTGGATATAGCTATACCCACGGCCTGAATTGGTTGACAGCGTATATTTACTGGAACTCTCCATTTCAAGACATTAGGGCTATTCAGTTCGGGATAAACAGGAGCACTAGATAAGGTCTTGAGTTCATCCTTGTGCGTATATGCTTTTACTACTAAACATACCGAACTTGGACAATTCTTGGTGTATATGGATGCACTAATGACCTGGCCTGGGTATATTAAGGGTGAGGCTACTAGCTCGTAGAGACACATCGGCGTAATTTCAGGCGTTATAAAAGTAGCTGTCATCACATATGACATGTCGTCATTTCTTGGAAGTCGAATTTCGAGACCGGTTCTTTTATTGTCGATGGTGCCTTGCTTGATACCTAGTATCCCGCAGTAGGTATTTTCTTTCATGATTTGGAACCCCTGGAGGCTCCCTGGTAGACTGAAGTGAAACTGTGCGCCTTCCTTCGGGGACGCGAGAGCTTCTTCTCCTACAAGCTTCCGGCCCATATTTGCAATGCTATAAGCGATATTCGTAGCGTTATTCATAGAGTATCCGCCGTCTGCGCTCGAGATCCAAGCACGATCGTCCAACGGTCCTCTCCAGTCAAGATTTTTTCCTTTATTATTTTTACTGGAATCGAGCGCTTCTAACCCATGCATGATAGCAACTAAGCATCCAACATTCCCCGAGTTACAATCCGTATCCCAACCGCATGTATTCACAATATGCATGGCTTCAGCGAAGTCATGACCCCCGTATATTAGTGACATGATCATGATTCCGTGGTTGGGTACTACGTGGCAGAATCCCGGAAACTTGTCGTACCCGTATTTCTTCTCGATCCTTTGCCGCGTGTATATCCAATCGTCGTCGTCTTCGCACCACGCACGCACGTCTCTAACCAATGCGGCTATAAGCGAGTCCGAGGGCACGAAGCTAAGTCCGGTATTTAATAGATGATTCACATCCTTTGAGGCAAATGCTTCGGCCTCCATAGCCGCCCATAGCTGAGCTGCATATACGGCTTCTCCATCGTGGCTCACCGAGCCCGCTGCTCCTGCGAGCTGAGCAGCTAAAGCTGGATTTCCCGGTGCCGTCATGGCAAATCCATCAATAAAGATTTGAGCGCCGATCTGCTGGGCAATAGTACGGCCGTTTGTCTGTATCGAGCCGCTGTGGGGTGCCTTGATTCCCTTTCGTAGGTTTAGGAAAGCCGTATGCTCAGTCGATATACCGTTGCCACCCCACCAGAAAACTGTGTGGTCTTTGATCACATTATTGAGCCACGTCTTGCCGACCTGTTCAGCACTAATTATTTTCTCTTGTGTGATACCTGGGGTGCTAGGGGGTGTTATGTTTGGGATGCTCGGGGTTCCTGAAGTTTCAGAGGCTTCTGTTGTTTCTAGGGTTTCTGTGATTTCCATCCTGTCTTCGTTCTCATCGTGGCTTTCCTGATGCTGAATAGGGTCACGACAGCGAGTATAATGTTCCTCTAGCGCCCTCACGAATGTAAAGGTGCCGGAGATGTCGTCATCCGTAACAACTATAGGGAGCTTTAGCTTTTCGTTGACATAGTACCGGATATGTCCTAACTCGGCGAGGATACGCTGATGCGTCCATCCCTCGAACGGACGACCCATGTATACCCCTATCAGCTTGCCAAGGACACCGGCATAGACTCTTTCGAGGTAGTCTTTTGGAAGAGACGACGTAGTCTCATCCATTATCTCGTGTTTTTCCTCTTTTTGCTCTTCCATCATAATTAAATTGTTAAGGATATGAGAGAAATAGAGGAGTAAAAGGTAAATTGAAAAGAAGAGGAAGAGAGAGAAAGAGAAGTAGAGGGAGAGAATAAAATTGAAATGTAGACGCGTAGTTGCCTATGATACATGTACTGTATATACATCCATATGTACCTCTGTTTCGTGTGCCCCGTGCCTTCGTTGCACGAATTAGGCACCTGCCTAGCTAAGCTATTATACAATAGAAGTGATATTTTGGAAGGAAGTCTCTGAAATATGGTATATCAATTGAGATCCGTTTGAGCAAGTGTATACTGTAAAAACGGAAGAACCTATTGGCTGTCATACAAAAATGACGTTGTATTTAATTACTAAGTACCTAATGTACCAAAGGGAAATCTACGATCTAATCAACAACAACAAAAAATATAATCGTAAATAAACCCAATTTACAGGAAATAACTTCGTCTCGTACGCTGAAGAAGTGGGCTATTTTAGGACTCATGCTTACGTCCAAATGGGATACATCTATCTCAGTAAGCCTTCAAGTTCGAGCACATTCGGCAAGACGAGCGGCGAAGAGATGGAATAAAAGAATTTGGTTTTTTTTTGTAAATCCATGCTACCTTACAGATTTACCGCCAAGTACATTTGGCCGTACCAGAAACCCCCCAAAAACGCCGTTGATGCATGCCGTCGATACAAGTCCCATGAATCTTTTACTCTCTTGCTTTTGATCCACCGGCGCGCATTATCATGTCTAATTTAATGGGTATCCATTGTTAATCGTCATGTCTTACCATCACTCGACTCCTATCTCGCCACGGCTGCGGTGAGCACCTGTGTACGGAAGAAACCTCCCTTGGTGCGTTCGATTACTTGCTGATAAACAGAGCTTGGGGGGTGGTTCATAACAACTGTGCCCTCCTTATAATCAATCTTCGCATCAACTCTGGTATCGCGGATAAGATTCACGATCCACTTCTCACCCTCATCCTCACCGAGACCTAGACGTGCGCTTAGGTCCTTAATATCGATGCGGGCATGGATCTTGCAGTAGCTCTCAGAAATAAGGTGTCGCGCAGAGTCAACAAAGGCATCAGCGGTGGAGAATAGGAAGAAGTCAGAGCGCAGGATCTCCTCGGCGAGCGAAAGCTGCCGTTGTGCTTCCTCGAAGTCGAAGTCAATGTAGAGCGCTCGCACAAAGTCGGTCACAGGGTCGCTGTACTCGTACGCCTCCTGCTTAACTATGCGGATAATATCCTTGAGTTGCTTCTGGTACTGACCAGAGTTCCGAGCTCGACTGCGACCTGTGATGATGGCAGCGGTGAGGTAACGAAGGATCCAGGGACAGCTGGTCTGGATGGTGTTGATGTAAGCGGGGCTGAAGAACAGATCCAGAAGCGTGTCGCGAGTACGATCGTCATTGAAGAGAGGAAACAACGCCCAGTGGATAAGCCAGGTACGTTGACTCAGTTGGGCCAGGGGGTTGTTAAAAAGCTTAGTATCAATGTTCTCCTTAACCTTGTTCAGTTCTTCCACGCTACCCTCCCAATTTGTAGTCAGAATCTCGGATGCGAGCTTTCCCCACGTTGCGGCAGCCACCTTATCATTGTCGGTAGAAAGCACACGGAACTGGTATAAAAGATCGGCAGCAGCAGCATAGTTACCACAGCTGTACTGGAAGTTGCCAAAGTCGTAGAGCGCGTTAACCATTTCGATGGTGACCTAGCAGGAATTAGAACCGAGTAGAAATAAGTAAAGGGGTTGGCTATGCATACATCATGGTCCTTTTTCAGGAACTCAAGGTTAGCAACCTTGTCGCTTCGCAGGTTTCCGACAACATCTTCGCGGCCTAGTAAATCGACGAGCTTGCTGGTGCTCTCCTCGAACTGTTCCAGGCGCGATATAACTTTTTGTCGTTTATCGTTAAACTCTGCGGGTGGTTGATCTAGACCTTCAAGTTCCGCCTTAAGGTTTCCGACGAAATCTGTCATGTTTGTAGTCTTAAGAAGTTCATATTTGGCTTTTGTAATAGCAAGGACCGCGGCATCATCAGCGTCTTCGGGGAGTTGACCGGCTGCGAATTCGAGGAGGGGGAACACAAGGTGACGGTCGAGATGACCGATCAACTTGGGTAAAAGATCGTATTCGGCCATATTGACTGCGTATATTGTATAGATATCGGGATGTTTATGGCGGAAGGACGACTTCAAAATATTGAGGCTGATAAAATTGATTAAAAATTATCACCAATGTAATTGTTTGGAGGGGCAGCGAGTTATTCCTCAGTCCGCATGTGGCTTGGTTTGACGAGGGCTACAACGAATAATTCAGAAAAAGTGGATTGTGGGACACTTCATTCTTATCGATAAATTTTAGTTATGTAAGTTAAATGTGGGGTAATACTTGCTTCAAGCTTTCATTAGAATATATTTTCCGATATTTAACCGGGGATCTACGTTCCCCAATACCAAGTACAGTATTTATTCTTTTTGCACTGTCCGTGATCTGATATCACTAAAAAAAGTTCAAGTGCTTTTTACGATTCACGACTGCCTCAGTCGGCCTTAATCTTCTATACAAGTGTCCATCTCAACCACAACCATGCTATTACCTAGAGCTTTACGGCGGCTTGCAGCCCCTTCAGTATTATTATCAACACCTCTGAAACGGTTTAACTTACCCATACGCACACAATTCCTCTCAGTGTCAGCTTCGACCTCGTCCAGCGATCCGGCGGCGATCCCCTCCGAACCTATTCACCCCGAACTAAAGAACCCTATCCCCTCTACTACACAAACAGAACAAATAGAACAAACAAAGCCGAAGAAGCCAGAGAAATTGCCATACTTCGTTGCCAGGAATAATCTCAATAATCTTGGCGTGTATCATAGGGTGAAGCGGGGTGGAAATCTAAAGCTCACATTGGTAAAGAATGGAGAAGGAGATTTAAAGGCTTTGAAAAAAGACATCAAGGAGGCACTGCAGCTCAATGATAGTGAAATTTCTCTCAATAGCGTTACCGGACACATTGTCATAAGGGTATGTTTATATTCTTCACAGCAGGTAATTATCTCTTTTACTAACATCCATCATTAGGGCCATATGAAGTTGCAAGTTTTCAACTTTCTCTATAGTATGGGCTTTTGAGGGGGTTCAGAGAGTAGCGACGATATATATACGGCGCCATGATGCTCGATTACTCTTACCCAAGGAAGTAAGGTGAAGTAACGATGGAGGAGCCTGTATCAGTATACAAGCACGGAGAAAAATCATACAGGCAGACAGAAGTCTGTCTTCAAGCAATAAGTCAAGTTAAGACTGCTCTTTTTTAGGGATATCGGTTATATAGTATTCCGAAAGTCAACTCCCAACTACACATGTACATATATGTACAAAAGGCACGAGCCATCAGATGGAAGCTCGAACATGCATGTATCAGATTAAATGAAAAAATATGAAAACCAATTCACTCCCCATCTCCTTTTCTCATGACGATGGTACTGGGTACTCTCTCGGCCCTTCGGTACAATATAACACCACGATCGAAGTTTCACTAAGGCCCAGCTCCTGCTTCGCATCCGTACACGCTCTTCGCAGCGCAGCTAGAGTGGCAGCGCCACAAGGTCCGGCAAATATACTATGAGCTTCGAGTTCCTGCACCGCATTATGCGCCTCCAAGTCCGTCACTACGATACTCGCATCTACGCCTTCTTTTAGTACTGGCCATGCAGTGATCGATAGTGTACCGCAGTTCATCCCACACATGATGGTATCTTCAGTCGGAACCGGAACACTCTTGCCCACTTTGAGTGACTCCAGAAGACACGCTGCGGTTGTAGGTTCTACAGAGAGAACTTTTGCCTGGCCAAACTTTTTGCGCCAAGAGGCGCTTTTGAAGTGTGCTGTGACGGCCTCCCCTATAGATCCGGCGCCGACAGGGACGATCGCATGAGTAGCCGGCTTCCCACCCGTTAACTCCAGGACCTGACGATCGGACTCTGCCAACATCGTGCTATATCCCTGGACGAAATACTCCGGGACAACATCGAATCCTTCCACACTAACATCCATAATTAAAATCGCTTTATCGCTAGCTTCGGCCTCCTTCTGTGCCACGGGTATCACATCATCGTAACTCCCATCCACTTCAATAATTTCTGCGCCCTCGCTCCTAATCTTGTTCCGGGTCTGTTCATCCATAAACTTAGGCACGAAAACCTTCGTAGGAATGCCCATAATCTTCGCGGCTATCCGCGACACAGCCCGGCCGCAGTTCCCTTCCGTGAGCGTCACGATCCGGACCCCTGCCTCTCGGGCCTTGGCGCCTACTTCTGCGAGGGGCGCGCTCCCATCCGATACCGATAGCCCCAGATGCGATCCAACGGCACGGTATACGGCCCATGATGCGCCCAGGATCTTGAATGCCGGCAGACCGAACCGGTTGGATTCGTCCTTTAATAACACGTTCCCGAGTCCTAGCTCCGCTGCTAGGTCTGGTAGAGAATGTAGTTGCGTCTCATTGTAGTCCGGCAAAGTCTTATGGAATGCAAGGACCGTCCCCTCCTGGCGCCCGCCCTGCGCGCCAACGGAGTCATGTATCCATTCCCGTGCCGGAGGATTCAGGTGGATGAACGGCGACATATTTGTATTATTGGTTTGTCTACAATTTTGAAGTAGTAGGGTAATAGACTTCCTTTGGTCTAACCATACAAACTACTAATAAAGTAACAATGATTCGCTTATTCCATCTGCCTAGATGGACCCCCACGCCGACCTCGGATCCCGATGCGGTCCCTAGATATGGGGAATGCCGGCTATATATTCTCGGACGTTGTATTAGCGGTGGAGACCAGTATAGTCTCTTTCAACCCCATCCTGCAAGGATACGTCTGCCAACCCGCTGGGAGTAGTATTGAAATTCAATTCAAATCCCGAGACCTACACATCGCGGAGTTGATTGTATCTAAAACCAAACTATCATATCAAGGAATTATCACCGTCTCCTATTTTTACCATTTTAATACTTGGCGCGCTCTTCAACGTGTAAGTCTATTCAGAGCATAATTAAATACTACAAGGACCAAATCGCTATTAGCCTAAATAATAAATTTGAGCAGCAGCATCCTCTAGTACGATTTTACAACAGATATATAGATACTCAGAAATATCACCAGTCCAACATAGTATCTTATTATGTTATAGAAATATTGAAAAGTCATACCGATTAAATATAGAGGTAGATATTTCGTGGGCTAATATTAAATTAGGAATTACAAAAACTATGCTAGCCACCTAATAATATCAATTAGTTCATGCATTTCAAGATTCACTCTTTTCCTCATGCAAAAAATGTTTACCTAGGGTAATATGGCAAAGTAAAGAACAAATCTAAAAGAGCTATATGCCATAGTTGGAAGAAATATCATGTTGGGTGTTGATGAACTATAGAGACAAGCTACTTAATTGATGAGAGCCCCTGTTATCCAGACTCTCGATGGTTAGGTATAGAAGGATAGCCAAATACTATACCACAAAATAAGGGTGTATAAACTAAGATACTAGGATTCAGCTTCTAATATATGGATGTAATAGTAATATTTTGAAGTAATCAACCTTCTAGGAATGGGAGAGGAATATCCTCCTCATATGGATTTGCTATCTAGTAGTCGCTTTAAGGGGTAACCTTATCATTTCTTGATTATACAGGAAAAATATTAAGCCCCCTTTTTTCCTTCCCTCTTTATGATTTAAAGGGGTAAAATACTCCATAAGTCGTTTGGACACTTTTCAACTAGGCACTGATTCTATTAAGATACTTGCTGCCTTACAGTTGCTCTTAATGACATTCAATACCGAACCCCAGCAATATTTTGCAGTTTACTTTTACCCGAGATTGTTTCTTGACCGATTTGAAGCTCTTCTGTATTGCTAAATTTTTTGGTATCAATGATGTGTAGGCGCATACACACACGTTCTTCGTCAAGAGATGTTATGCTTGACTTGCAAACAACAGCTCGGCCACTAAATCACTAATTATCATCTAGAAAGTACGAACCTAATTACTTAGTGTCATAATAACTCATACCCAGGATCACAAAAAATGAAAAAGAAGAGAGGTTTCGGCCTTGATACACCTATGAAAGTGTTACTAAACATTTTTACTTCTTGGCCATGGTCGAAAAACGCTACATTTGTATGTGCTTCCTCTAGATTGCTGAGCATGACGCGATATTGGTCATTCTCTGTGAACCATCAAACTAAGAGATTCAAATCGTCTGGTCTACACCTGTGGCCTTAGGCCAATAATGTACGATACGGAGAAACACAATGTCGTAAGCTCTGAATTGCTGCATGACAAATTTAATGCCTTGGATCATAGTCATATGTAACTTGAGAGTTCGTTTGCTTCTTGGCTGGCTCTTCAACGTCTATATGAACACTCTGAACCATCTCGATCTTTCAGGTTCTCCCTCGAATCTACATCTATCAACCTAACCTTCAAGTTACTTACTATCTAACAGCATATCCCATCGCCCAAAATGTGTAGGTTTTAATACAATTCTTCTGTAAATTCTAAATATTTCGTGCTAACGGTTATTATATAGCGTCCCATGGCCACGGCAGTAAGAAGTCCAAGAAGCCCAGCAGGCATTCTAAAGACAAAGACTGGTCAGACATGTACTTGGAACGTCGCCAATCGGACCAGAGCAATGCATATGTTGTCTACGAGCATGGTGTAGGTTCAGGGTCGTCAGGATCTCACAGCCACTCCCATAGAAGTCACCATGGAAGCCATCATGGAGGTCACCACGGAAGTCACCACGGGAGCCATCATGGAAGTCATCACGGAAGTCATCACGGAGAGCCGGTCACGTCAGATCAACCACCGGCTCAACCAACTATACCTGAAGAGCCGCCAGCCGACCCGCAACCTGCACCGATGAACGATCAAGCCAGTTTTACTGAACAATCTGGATATCAGACCGTCGTCCAGCCAGTTTCCGGTGGTAGGGCAGTCCGCGTATCGGTAGCAACCGGATACACAGCGGATGGAGTCGCGGCCCAGGCGGATAACTACCACCACCCTAACCAAGACTCATACCCGGCAGGGCCCAGTCAAGCAGCGGATCAGGATCAAGCGAACTACTACGACGCCAACCAAGCAGCCGGTCAGGATTTACCAAATGTTGATGAAACCTATCAAGTAGTGGATCCGGAAACAGGGGCTCCAGTTCCTGATGGACAGGAATACCAGGATGGCGATCCGGGGAATGTCAACGGCTTGGGATTCGGCTGGAGTCAACCTGATCAATATGGTAGACAATATCTTCAGCATGAGAAGAAGCACCACAAGAAGCATCATCATCATGGTCATCATCATCATCATCACCACCACCGCCACTAGTATGTTCCTTAACTTTTGATTATCATATAGGTTTTAGGAGTTGGCTATTTCTTCTCAGGTAGGCGAAGATTATCATTTACACCGAATCTCTGGAGTTTGAGGCGCACGAAGCAGGAAATATCTTTATCTAGTTGCACGCCATATGCGTTGATTTACGATTTATTTATAATAACAATAAAAAATCCTATTTTACGAATATTACGATTTAGTAGTCCCTTGAAAAATTTGTACTTCTAAGTAGAATGAAAAAAGACGGTCTCCTTTGTGCTTCGCACGAGGAATCTAGATGTTACCTATAAGGCTCTGTTTCTGTGCAGATTTCCAGGGGTATCACTGGCTGTACTGGCGACTGGTAGTTTCTATGTGAATGGTAGCCTCAATTGTAAGTGAAATTGTAACATAATATTTAATTTAGTGCTGGTACTGAATATTAGAAGCTTAACTTATAAGTCTTAATTCATTTAATCTTGATTTTATATTTAATCCTTTTCAACTACCACCCATACGTACTTTTTATTTAGTAAATCTCTGATTCGAAATATTGCATGTACAAATTGAGGCCCCCAAACCGAGGGTTTGGTGAAATAATCTTGTGCTTCTCTTAATGTGAAGTGTGTCATGGCGTTAGTCACTATTGATCAAGTGTGATAGTCACATCTAGTGGTCTACGTTTACATCTCTGTGTTGATGGCGTACGCCCCTGAGAAAGGAAACACTACAAGATCAAGAATGAATCATGAGCTACACAACACGTCTAATGCTTCTAAATTGTAATCATATGTGACATAGAAGTTGGTACTTCCTATGGGCTCTTCTGCCTTTATAAACATGCTGCGGCTCTCTTCGAATTGCTGCTTTCCGCATCAGAATTCTACTACCTAACCTGGTTCGACTTTACGATTTGACACCATCACCAATCGACCAATATGTGTAAGTTCTACTCTTTATACTAACCCGAAGGCTTGAGCTATTGTATTAACGAAAAATATCCAGCTTCCCACAGCAAGAGCGGTAAGAAATCTAAGTCCTCCAAGGGCGACTCGTGGAGCGGTATGTACATGGAGCGTAAGAAATCAGATCGGGGCACCATTCATGTTCGCCGCCGTGATGCGGCTCCGGAGTCATCGCAACCCCGTGGTCGTTCTCCTGGGGCTCATAACGACCGCCGCGAGAATTATCAAGGAAGCCGCCATAATAGCCCTCCTGGAAGCCGCTACAGTAGTCCTTCCAGAAGCAGCTATAGCAGCTATAGCGGCTATAGCAGCAATGTCGGAAGGTCGGATGTAAGCCCTCCAAGAAGCCAGTATGGAAACCAATATGGAAACCAGAACGGTAACCAGTACGGTAATCAGAATGGGAACCAACACGGTGGCCAGTATGCAAGTCAACATGGAAGCCACGGAGGTCCAAACATGCCGCCTGCACAGCCAGCTATGCTAACTCAACCAACCATACCTGAGGAACCGAGAGATCAGCAACCTACACAAGCTGGATACAGAGTAGTAGAGATGCCAAATCCGGGAGGAAAACCACTACGAGTATCGGTTGCAACTGGATATACATCAAACAGGGTAGCGTATCAAGCAAATGGCTACTCACCCCCTGATGGAAACCCAAATGTAAACCCGTACCAAGCAGCCAGCAACGCCCAAGCGCCCGGCTGCCACAAGGACAATCCAGTAAATCAATACTACCGAGGAAACTGGTTTTAACCTGGTAGATATCTACAACCCCAATCCGTTAGACATGCTTATGGGATCGTCTAATAGCAGATAGGGGGGTGGGCACCGCCAGTGCGGAAACCATTATTATCACCATCACAGCCGCCACTAATATGGTTCTCCAGACTCGGCCGGCATCGATGCCTCAGGGTGTGGCTATTTTCCTTTTTTGTTAATTGGTTATTCGTTTGGGAGTTCGGGAGTTAGAGGCGCACGAAGCAGTAAGCATTTTTATCTGGCTACGCGCTATGCTTTGACCTATCGCTGAATTCTACTATTTTTATTCTATGAAACTCTTCAAATGTGAATGTTCATTTTGATCGTGAAATTATCTAATATCTGTAGAGATCACTGAATTGTCCTTATTTAAGCCTTGTTCCTATTCTTTTTTCACATCCCACTGCCCCCTGAAGTAATACCCGTAGATATTGTGGGACTTGGATTCTGTTTGGCAAGATCCCTGCTGAAGTAAAAGAGCATCTTCTAGGCTTCTGTGTCTGTGAAGCGCTCTATTCGAAATGGATATTCGTCCAGGGGGATTCCTGTAGATGGCCAGTTGACCCTGAGCAAAAAGTCGCTACAAACGACCTGCTTCATTGGCTCGAAAAGCGAAGTCTCAAAGTCTAAAGGCAACGGCCGATACCAATGTGGCTCCTGGCGCTGGTGGTCCTCGCGCAATACCTCAAGCGTCACAAGCAAAGTGTGCAATGACTTCAACTCACCGATAGCGTTCCAAGCACAATGCCACAGCGTATCTCCGGGAAGGCTTTTCTCGTCCCAACCTGGCCAGCTCCTGCTGAAAGAATTGTCGAAATATACGTGTATCATGGTCCTGCGATTGAAGAGGGCCAAGGATAGTCTAACATGGTGTAACATGTCGAGATGGTGGGGAATTATAGCCCGCGGAAAGACAGAAATGGAAAACAAGGTGCTAAAATTAAGGACGTATCTCTTGTATAGAATATCGACTGATTCCAGGTATCTGTCTATTATTAGTAATTCGCAAATATCAACGAGTCTTTAGAATTCTTACATAGTGCGGCAAACAGCCAATAGGGCACTGACATGGCGCGTATTGGGAGATGATAATCGCTCTCTAATCGTATCTGTGTTCCAATTCATCCCTGCACTCCGAGACATTGGCATACTAATACAGCTCTCATGACCATCCAAGCCTGTTGCTGTTGGGTTCTGACAAAGCATGCTAACCAGCTTTTGCTCATAGATGAAGATGTGAAGATCCCCGCACCCGAACACGTATTCGTAAATCATGATACGAATTTCCGGGGCTAGTGCTGTTAAGAATAGCGAGTCATTTTGAGGAACCGGTTTAAGAGTAGAAGTAAATGCTTGGGGCGTAGTGATCGGTGGTGATTGAGTTTCGTCCATGATTTAAGAAAAGGGGGGGTTCCCAGTCTTAATAGTGAGGTTTGTCTTATTCGAATAAAGCTGCGAAGGTTTCTATAGAGAAGTTACAGTAGAGACAACTAAATTTTTTCCCACAGCGTATTAGGTTCAATTTTGAAAAACCGTAAAAGATAAATATAGGAAGAAAAATGTTATAATAATATTTAATTCATAAAATTAAGCTGACATATTTGTACCAAGACTCATGAGAGTAACATCTGGTAAATAATCACGTGACCTGTAAGCTTCCCCGCTGCACCTCCTTTTCCTGATTTAATTATTTTCGGATCAGCATTAATGGTATTCTCTTGTAAATGTTTCTTCTTCTTTTTTTATCAACATTATTATATACTTAATTTTATGCCAAAGTGAATAGTTGTACTTCGATATCATCTTAAGGATAGACCCCAAGAATTTAAATACAAGCAAGGGAAGTATGTGTTAATAAGATATTTCGAATGATCTCTAACATAGATTCATACCACTGATGCCTCGTGTGTTAACAGGGTTATCTAGAACAGCCTGCTCTAAGACTAGCTCCAAGCTGAAACATTCCTGATTTTGGAAGATGTGTGGTTTTAGTTCAGCTTGAAAGTTGATTACTGAATTCGACTGTGGTTGTCTTATACTACAAAAAGCGGGTGAGGACTGCGTTGATAACCTCTTAGGTAGAATTTGCATTCTTAGGTAGTCCGCAGAGACGTAGTAGGTGATTTCCTTTGCTGTATCCATAAACTGATACGCTTGCTTGAAAGTTGGGTGTTGGTCGGAAAATATATAACAGAAGGGCTCGTCCATGGTAGAAAACGCGACAATAAACTGAGTACTCGAACTGTAATTGTACGTGCTACTGTATTGCAGCAAAAAATACCCGTTGATTCCCTGCCCTTGGCTGAGAAAGAGGCTTCTGTTATAATCCCAGAGTTGTTGAGGAGCAGCTGCGAGAATCTGACAGGGAGCTTTTGAAAAGTTGGCGTAGATGGCTCCTCGAAACCGATTTTCAACTATTTCTGACTCGGAGGTGCGAAGGTCCTTGCGGATATAAACGAGAGAGTTATCACCACGATATCGTCTCATTTGAGGTTCCGCTCTAAAGAGAGAGTGCGGCTTTGAGCGGACATAACCATTAGCAGTCTTGGCTAGATACACACCTATCCAGCCATCAGCCCTATTTTTAGGCCAGTCATCCCTTTCCGAAACACCCAAGTCCCAGACAAGATCGTCAGTGGCACTAGGAACACTGATGAGAGCAGTCTCAATCCGAAGACCCTTATTCGTTATAGCAAACTCTGTATCAATGATGGCATCTTTTATCCTTGGTTTTAACTGGTGAGCGTGAGCAAATTCCCTGGGAGACCTGGCAAAGATCCCTCGGTAGCTCTGTTGAATCAAGCTTTCTGGGCCTAAACTCGGCGGTGGACCTGTCCACGCAAATAACGACAAGTCGCTGCTCTCTTTTGCGATCTCCTCCTGCAATCGCATAAAAGCCTTAGGACCTTCACCATACAACATTGGCATGTTGACACCAAATATGCCCAGTAGGCAGTAAGCCTTATCTTCAACCCTAGTCGTCTCCCTCATCGATGCCCAAGACATGCGCCTTGCTACAGGAACCTCGAACATGGCTTGACTATCACACAAGACCGCGTAGTCGATTCTAGTTACACTAGAGAGGAAGGCGTTTAATTCGGGTTTACGACCCCTGAACTCCCACGTAGAATCATAAAATTCCGCCGCTCTAGGGGCAACTATCTCTTGGAGGGTCCAGCCCCGAGTTAACCATCTGCAACGGGGGAAATAATCCTCAAACGATGATCCAGATGGGAGATCAGAGAGAAACACAAAACAAACGGCAGAATTCATATACCATTTAAACATGGAGTTGATTGCTTCGGACAACTCGGCACTGCTAGACTTGTCGATACAGCAGGTATCAACCCAAGCATATCGTAAGTTGCGATTAGCAGCAAGTTGACATGTGTACATTATCTTACCAAATCCATTCTTCTTGTATGCCTTCCCAGGGATTTGAAAATCTTGGAAAGATACCTCGTCATCCTCCCAGACGTGCGATAATATTGCATATGTGTATTCTTCCGGCTCATTAACGAACTCTAGCTGATGGGTGCTGGTGTTTATTAGCCACATCCTCAGCTGGGTTTGGCTTATTTGGACGATGCTAGCTTGTACATGAACTGTATTAGTCTACAGTAACGATTATTATAGTATAATATAACCTCGAGGCGAGAAAAATGGTGAACTCTTTCTTAGTAATCGAATATGGAGATTTGTTCCGAGCTGACGATAAGAATCAAGTAGCTGAGCTGCGCTGTTCTTGGTGCTGAAATAAGGCGGGCGCTAATTGGTGGACGGCACACGGTAGAGACATGGAGTATAAAATGACTAGATGCACTGTGTTAAATATGCCAAGCCAAGTCGTTTGCTGTTCGTTGAGGGAACGTAATTTTTAACAAATCAAGGTGTAAAACACATCAATATTAAGCTACTATTATAATCAAATATAACAGGCTATGAACTTCCAAGTCCTTGTTATATTTCTAGCTAAATTTTGGGTTCTGGCGTAGTATTATCTCAAAGATCATAGATTCGTAGACCTTGATATTAATTATCATGTTGATCGAACGATGCTCCGGGGCTGATGAGATTCTAATTCCTACCCCGGGGACAGGAAGTGAAGGTGGCACTACATAGAACCAATCATTCACGATGCCTCCGGAATTTATTATAACACCGCAACGGAATATTACCCAGGAGGAAAAAACAGCAAAACCATAAGAACAAGAAGAGATACCGGGATAAGGGACTTATGGGACCCACCTAGGAGGTCCGTAATCCCGGACGGAGGAGGTCTTGTAGTCGTCAAAGAACCTTCCGAATCCCGCCGGACCTTTCCGTTGGTTCTTCATTCGCGACGTCACCCAGGGGTCATGGATATGTTGGCTGTTATAGGCTATTCATCAATGTCACGCTCTTGATGTACATAGGAATCAGCTCCACTCTCTCATTAGATGCATCTACGGCCTTTAGACACGCTTACAAATCCTCAGGAGAGATCCCGGATGGTTGCCTAACCCCAGATGTTATTATACCATTTAGGACTTATTGAACATACTTATGACCTGGAAATGCATATCGGATTCCTGAGTTCCCGAATTCGCGAATAAATCTGAGGGGGATTCTCAAGTTGTAATGCAGCAATACGCGGACTTAGTCCTTACCCCTGAAAAGATACCTAACTCCGAATGCTCCATGACTCTCACACGGTAACTTGGTTGGCTTTCCAAATGGAGAGTATCGCGGGTGCTTAAGTCGAGCCGACACCGATGGGAATTATGTGGGCTAATTATTGCATTATTATGTTACTGCGAGCGGGGGTAAAGAGATACTATAGGACGGTGTATTCGACCAAATTCTCGTTTACCTGGTGTTGAATATGCACATATGTGGAGTTGCAAATGATCAATGCTTTACCTAGGTAGCGAGCAGTGTACATGCGCAAAGATATTGACTATAGGGAGGCCTGGTGCTCTTAATAAGAGACACACTTAGCAGGGGTATGTTAACAGCCTTATACACGTCGTAAAGGAGTTGCCACTATGGTGAGATGTATAGAATCTAGGATCTTCGGCCTCGCGTTTCGCCTTGCATTTGTTGAGTCTTTTATTCTTCGTAGAGTTTGGCTCTGGTCGGCTCGCGAGATGTTGCTGAACCGATGCGGGCAAAATTATTGGTGCAACTTATTCTAGTAAATTCATATATATAAGATGTGATAGTCGGTCACTACGGTCAACATTATCTTGAACATTTCATCACTTCATTAGTTTCACATAGCGCGGATTAACACCCCTTACCTGGCTCGATAGAACTAAACAATGGCCGTTAAAACTACAAAACCCCGTATACTAATTGTTGGTGCCGGCCTCGGTGGACTGACACTAGCCCAGTCCTTGCGAAAGCAGGGCATTCCATTCGAGGTTTTCGAACGAGACACAGATGCACAGTCTCGATTCTTAGGATGGGCCATTGGCGTACATACGTGAGTTTTTAGTTCCTTGTCTGTTTTATGAAGCCTATAAACAAGCATAAACCCAAGACGTGCTCATAGAGCCCCAAACGGACTATTGCGAGACTAGTTCGAACTAACGAAGATATTAGAATTCTCGATGACTTAGTTTCATCAATACCTAACGGTCAGTATATGCCATCCTACCATTCTACGTCTTTGGACATCGGAAGTCTCTATAGAATACTATGAGGCTCCGTTTCCGTTGACTCCAGTACTCAGTTTCCAAGACCGCACTAACCTAACATTTATAATATTGATCTAGACTTACCGCCAATAAAGGAGAGTATAACTCACTTGTCCCCACTGAAGCTCGAAGCGCAACTTTCTTTTTACTTCCACGGAAAGCACATGGCCGTACAATCTAGTCCCGAGCAGCAAGTTATAAGGGCAAACAGACCTCGTTTTAGGGATTGGCTCTCTACCAATATCCCAATTCAATGGGGAAAGAGACCTACACGAGTGGAGCAAGTTCAAGACGAAATCCTACTCCACTTTGAGGATGGAACTACGGCCACCGGTGATATTCTCGTGGGGGCAGACGGAGTAAATAGCTTTGGTACGCGACGTGTCCTGCAAGACCGCTTGCCATCAAATCCAAGAAACCTAGATCGGCTTACAAGAGATGAATAGTGCGCGAACACCTTCTTGGGGTCCCCAACAAGGAACTTCTCCAGCCCATTCCAAATTGTATGATCTGCGGCGAAACAACTTTGTCGGGAGAAGCATTCGAACGCCAGCTTTCTCTCGCACATAGCTGCTATGTGGCGGTCGGCCCAGCTTCTACCAATTATTTCCTGTTTGTAGGCTTGAACCGAGTGAGCTCGGATGGAAAGTCTGGGCGGTACTATTGGTTTATCGCGGAGAAAGATCCGTCCATTGCTAACGAGAACCACTGGACCAAATCTGCTTCGCAAGCAGAGCTATACGACCACGTTATCAAGTTAACAAGTGGTCTTGAGCCTAGGTTTTCCGAAGTCATTGAGTCGACTTCTGTAAGCGAGGTCAAGCCCAAGCCTTTCATAATTCGCGATGCGGAAATTGAGCACTTGCCGGTCGGCAGAATAACTCTGCTTGGCGATGCGGCTCACCCAATGAGCCCATGTAAGCTCCCTATCACCTAATACCCTCCCAGTCACGACAAACTACCAGGATTAATGATTAATGGCTAACACCAATCCCAAAGTCCGTGGTGAAGGCGGCGCACACGCCTTGCTTGACGCGCTAAACCTTTCGAAAGCCATCGGGCAGTTGAAGTCGAATGATACCAGCGAAATCGAGTCTCTCTTCGGCCCCTATCAGAAAGAAATGCTAGAACGAGGCGCGCGCGCCGTCAAGGCTTCTAGAAGTCAGCATACCTTTGAGACTATTGCCGATGGTAATATAGTGGCATGGGGTCAGACTCTTGTTGAGGTTCCGGATGAGACTATTACCCTCGAGGCTTGCCTCCCTTGATAGGTAAAAGGTGGAGATACCCTGGGATAGGGCTGATAGCGCCGTGACAACTCTCTGGATGTCAATCACGTACCTAAGTTGGATAGATTCGGAATTCTCTTCTCAATTTAATCGTTAGAATATATTGTGTATACAAAGATGATTATAGAATTGTATATGTTTTGTCAACCTATATTATACAGTTGATCGCAAGTCTTATAAGTGGCGTTGATCGAATTAAGCTTACCCATAATTACCCAGCCTCAATAATGAGGCTATTTTTAGATTCTTTATTAGAGTCTCGGGACGGCCCGGGCAGTGTGGGGCCGGTCGAATTTACTCTCATCATGGTCACTACGATTTCAATAGTCTTGAGGATATAACACACTTGCATCAAATGCAATTTTCCAGAAGGATATTACTGATATTATATTCATAGTAGTACACTATATAAATTACATGTTTAAAATGAGGTTGTAAGGTCAGTGTCTCGTACAAGTAGGCCCGAAAGGCAGACAAGGTCAAGCTACTTACATACACGCTAAATACCCACAAGTCACTAAAGGAATATTTTACCAAATTCTCTACAGCATTAATTTTCTCAAAGTTACTAAATACTTTCTCTGCGAGTTACCCAACCGTCGTAATGCAGTGATAGGTGTATGTCTGTAGTTGAGTAAGTGGCCAGCTTCAACCTTGATAGGTACCCTAGCACCCAAGGTACGTTCATGTCAAAAAGGAGGTTACAAGAGTTATCCTAGCGTTATGTATGCAACCCTTCAACAATTAGTTACCTAATTGTATACCTCTGTAAATCACAAATACACGGCAAATATATTCCAATGAATAAATATCGCCCAGTGTTAAATTTATTAATTCACGAATTTCGAAAAATGACCTTCAGGTATGATAATAAATGTACACAGTTCTTTGGAAGAATTCTCATACTCATATGTTCGTTACGCTATAAGTACACTAGGAGGAACACTACAATTGTTAGCCGAGATAACCATGTCTCTGTATTCATGTTTAAGCTTCTACGAACTTGTATTCCGAACTAAGGCGACTACGTTAACCTTTAATCGTCATCCTGACGACAACAGTTTCGTAGGTACTACCCAAACTAGCCTGAGCGTGTTCTTCCTACTACCAATAAAGCTGTTATTGTCTCCTTCCTATTTAGTTCAAAGCTTTAGAGTCTTATCGAAACTTGTTTCCTAACCACGCCACAGTAAGCGCTTGATTTAGGCAGAGGAAGACATTCACAAGTCAGGAGGCACCGTGGGTGAGCTAGATACATTGAGAATACACGTAAGTATATGCCGTTTCGGTAGTTTTGCGTCGTGATACAGCGTGTTTCTTTTGTGATTGGCGTCCGCTAAATGGTTGGGCCGAAACGTTTGGTCGGCTAATAGGTAGGTACCTCCTAGCTCAGCCCCTGGGATTAGGTGTTATGCGTGAGTATTTATGAATGTAATCAACAAACTAATAAGCATCCTATCGTGTGTATGGAAATTCAATATCTGACAGTTGAAATACAATAATTTTGAGAATCAAGTTCTGAAATTCATTATCACTACAGAACTATGGCGCGAGAGAATTTATGAACGATTTGTTTAGTGGGCATCGAAAGTAGCCACTGGGTCTAACATACTGTACCACAGGTGTGGGTAGGACGTACGACACGTGTAGGTTGTACAATGTATGTTCGCGAGAGTTAGTCTGCAAGGTCTTTGTAATGCGCCGCCAGTTCTAGATCTAGTTCCTTGGTAGAGCTTAGGTGGATATGAATGAAGAAACTCGCGGGATCAGAGCTTCAGAGGCAATAAACATAATACATTCCCGGTATCAAAAAGCGAGCTATATATTCTGTAGCATATTTTCTTCACGCTTTCTGCAAGGTGCATATTATTTATTTACATGTGGATTTTGCCCTTCCAATCATGGGAAGTAAAGTTGGCAACTGACTCAAGCCTAAAGGCCTCTGCCTTGATTTTCTTTCCTCGGGAGTTTATGGAGTGAACCAACAACACAAAGTGTTTATCTTTATGTTTGCCTCGCTTGGGTGCTATTGTTCTTGGGTAGTCGGTCTATTAGCCGGTTGCGCGTGGGCACAGCCATAGAGGTGGAGGTGACATTGTATGTAAAAAGAGATGCCGTCGGAGAAGGCTGAGGAGAATAGAAATGTACCTAACCGAAAAACGATAAGTCAAGCCGAAAATCCTCAGCCGAAGAGACCGAGGCTGACCGAGCGCGTACACTAATAAACAGGTGATAGACCGCATGCTGACCTGACCGTGCCCGACCATAGGTACCTATTAGCTGAAATGTAATAACTGGATAATTTCATAGTTCCCCCCATTAAGAATCTTACGCCACGTAGATCGTAGATCATCTATATTATGGAGCCTAATGAGCCTCCCTTCACCTTCAAACTTTCATTCTACGCCGGTCGAAACGAAAATGTCACCCATACTATCACATTCGTGCAAACGCAACCAACAATAGATGCCGACTGTCGTTTTTGACCATCCGTTTGCGTGGGAGTCATATGTCATATTTCCATATAGAGGGTGTGACGGCTACCTGCATTGTAGAAGATGCGCATCTCAAGCCATCAAAGATTCCGTAGACCCCAAAATATTGGCATCGTGGTTTATCGCCGAGTTGGCTGTACGATGACACAGCGGGTTGCCGACCAGTAATATATGTCTCCAAATCTACCTAACATGCCACAAACGAGAGATGAGGAGAATTATGTACGTTTACTCATGTATGTTACCATCCTTCTTGACAGCTGGAACTCCACATGATTCGAAGCCTCGCTTCCTATTAATGCGTAACATGCCAGGTATTTCTCGTGCACCAACAACGCCCCCTCCAGCCAACGGCTGTCTACTCCAGCCATGCAGCTTTGCGAACAAAGACATTGTGCATTATCACACATTCGCAGAATCGCGGCAACCGTTGGCTCGTTTAGCCTCGAGCCTCAGCCAGCGATGATGCCATCGATAAGTATACCGGCTTTTTGCTTTTAGTTCGGCCCGTAGCTGCTAGACCATACATTCGCCTTGCTCAATTCGCTTCTACTTAGGAAGTCCTAGCCTAGGTATAGTTAGACGAAATGCAGAGAGCGAGAAGTATTGCGAAACTATGGTATTTCTCGCCCTCTTGTCTAGCCTTGTGGGCTTTCTGCCAAACCTAAAAGAATAAAGACTGAGGAGTAGGGTAATATAAAGGTCCTGGTTCTATATTCTGTCTTTCCATTTCTTTTGAGGATCGGACATTATGGGTATTGCAACTCCATTGACAATTCTCGCACAACAAACATCTGTTACTGGACTTAATGGTAGGACAGAAGGTTTCCGTACCCTTACGATAACCCAGTCCTCTGAAACACTCGTAACAGTAATTCCACTGGGTGATGGCCAACGATGGACTCAGACGAAAGCGAACGTGGCAGTCCTTGAGACAGCATCCACACCAACCCCGGTACCGACCAGTTCTAGTGGTAACTCCGCCGCCACTGCCCTTATAGTAATGGGAGTTATTCTCGCACTATCTCTTTCACTGCTTATAATATACTTTTGTTGTTGTAAAAACCGGAATAGTTGCTCTAGTAGACGCAAGCCGCCGAAGAAAACCTATTACCATCGTTATAACCATTTTAAGGTCGTTCGTGGTCCTCCAGGTCCACCAGGTCCACAGGGGGTTCCTGGACTTGATGTAGGCTTTCCCCGTGTCGTATTATCTTGAGACGTAGCTAATATCTCTTTTCTAATGGGCTCTAGGGTACTCCAGTAAGTCTTTCCTGTCGTATGGATGGATTTAAATTGGCAAACTAACATATTTCCAATTTCCAATAGGGGCTTCCTGGTGCCCAGGTAAGCTTTGGATACTATATGAAGAAGTATTTATTTAATTGACATGCTTTTCAGGGTATTCCTGGTATTCAGGGTGAGAGAGGTCTTCAGGTGAGCCATACCTAGTATTCAAGCGAGTTTAAACTAATATAATCGTTTGTTTGAAGGGAATACCTGGTGATATTGGCCCTCGAGTAAGTCTTTACATATAAGTCGAACAATGGGACGTGTTTGACAAACTAATCTCATTTATCAGGGCGATACTGGCGAAAGGGGTCCCCGAGTGAGCTTCCAGTACTGTAGAAATAAACCACGGTAAACTGACTGACATGTTTAGGGTCCACCTGGGGATAGAGGCGACCGAGGTCCCCAAGTAAGGCATCACTATCACATCGACTAATATTCAAACTAACTTCTTTCCTCAAGGGTAATAATGGTGATCCTGGTCCACGAGTAAGCCTCTAGAAGCTCGATTGCTATTTATAATACACTAACATATGTATTTAGGGTGCTGCCGGGGAACGAGGTCGCAATGGGGAAGTAGGACGTAAGAAATTTGCCTCACTTATCACAAACTTAAGGACTAGCTGCTTTCATAACGATATATCTACCTCTTTTGATCCTTTATCATGTTGGAAGTAACGCTAATTTCCATAAAAGCGCAAGGGATACAGGGCATACCCGGTGAGTGTCTTTTGTCAATTAAACTTGAACTTCTCACCCCAAAAGTTCGAATAAAATACACCATTGGCAAAATTTCCTAATAGAGTAATTAGGTCGCGACGGACGTGACGGTCGTGACGGGAGAGATGGTCGGGACGGTGTTGATGGCCAGGATGGCGCTGCCGGTCGAAATGGTACTGACGGCCAAGATGGTATTAATGGGAGAGACGCAACAAATGGAATTGATGGGAGGGATGGCACTGATGGAAAAGATGGAGCTGATGGCGCTGATGGCCGCGACGGCGCCGATGGTCAGGACGGAAGAGATGGCCAAGATGGCACCAATGGTATCGACGGTCGAGACGGCGCGGATGGTCGCGATGGTATAGATGGTATTAATGGTACCGATGGCCGTGACGGTACTGACGGCCGTGATGGCGTTGGTGGCCGGGATGGTCAGAACGGCGAAAGAGGTGAGAGAGGCGAAATGGGAGAGAGGGGGGAGAGGGGATGGAGAGGAGACCGTGGCGATCGAGGAGAGCAAGGTGAAAGGGGAGAAATGGGAGAAAGGGGAGAAAGGGGAGAAAGGGGAGAAAGGGGGGAAAGAGGTGAGAGGGGAGAGCGAGGCGAAAGAGGAGAAAGAGGGTTCCAAAGTGAAATCACGTAAAGACAAATACCTCAACCCCCTCACTCTACCCGTCTGCTAACCCATTCATAGTATTCGAGCCTATCGCCGACGATCGCGAGATTCGGACGCCGGACGACGACATCATACCTGTTGCCGACACTGCCGGAACTACTGCGGAGGGTACTGCACCGGCCATTGCGGTAGAAGACCCTCCTGCGACGGACACTGCGGCTGCTTATGTCGTTGCTGTCACCTATAGAGCGTTTCTAAGAATGAACACTTTACTGCTACAACTACAGGATAGACTGCTTGGTCTGGGTCGGGGGGATTTAACACACACCATGGTATAATAGCGCGGTGGTATAGCATTGATCACTCATATTGGGAAGGTTGACCGCATTTTGATATTTTCATAGCAATAGGGTCAGGAAATGGATACATGGGATAAGATATATATTAGGTGCTGTATATCGCGCATCTGAATCATTTTATTATCTTCCTTGGAACTGCTACGCCTAGTATATTTCGGTATGTCAAAGCTTCTGCTTGGGAAGTTTAACTGTCGGATAGATGATGAGCGCAAAAGATACATAGCATCCCCGAGCACGTACTATGTACCATGAAATGAAGGCAGCATATAGGGAAGAGGTATTATCATCGTCTGAAAGTATAATCTATTAAGCGTAATTATCATTACGCCTAATTGCGATTTCATAGGTGATCCTTGGAGTTCGGCCAACCAACTAATGGTTTCCATTGCCCGGAGGCCTTATTAGACCTGGAATAACCCTTCAACTCCACGAGAATGCATATTAACATAAAGATACCGATTTCTAGACCACGGAAAACGCCAAACAAGAGTGCCTTTCTGTTATCCACAGACTCTTTCTATATATTCACGGGTATTATCTCCTGAACGTGGCGCTCTTGCCAGCCTTCTCTCCGTGCATTTTCCTCGCGGGTTTCGGACCATCGATGGTCATCCCATAAGGATTAAATCTGGCTGCCTGGGGAGCGCCATTGGCAGCCCTTGACGCATTCAGGACAGATTTTGCCTTGCTATAATCGAAAGGCTCATCCTCACCCTCTCCGTCTTCTTCTTTTTCTGATAATTCTGCTACATCGGTGTATGCTTCTTTCTTAGCTCGCCTAGTTAGCTTCTTTGCTTGTCGACGCTCCTCCTTGAGCGCCTCTTTACGAGCTCTCTTTTCAGCCTTCTTAGCCTTTCTCTCTCTTCTCTGCTCGTCGCTGTCATCTGAGTCGGGAACTGCAATTTCATCCGTATCAAGGAAGGCAGTCGAATTAGACTTTGCTTTGGATGGTGTATCGTCCACTTCTCCCGACTCGGAATCCGATTCGATTTCGGGTGCTTTACGCTTTAAACCAGCTTTGAGCGTAAACTCACTATCAGCTGCCTGATTTTCTTCTAAATGAATAATTGATTCTTCCATTTGAGTGACTGGTTCTTGTGCCGGCGTATCTATAACCTCCAGTACCTTACCCGACTTAATAAATTGGGCCCAGGGGAGTTCAAACTGCACGGCTCGGGTCTTGACGGTAGATGACTGTTCCCATCGACTACTTATCGGAACCTTTCCCCATAATTTCGATGTCTGAGAGACTATATCCTGCATTCCCGAGGCTCCTGCATCGTTACTTCGTAATTGGGGGAGTATTGATTTTGCGACTTCACCAATGCCCATCGTAGGTGGCGCATTGCTACGAATAACCTCAGTAACAGTCGGCCCATTCACTCCTTGCGCCTTGGCTTTACTAATAATCTTGAATAGGTTAAATGCCTCACGCTTGGCTATGTGAGATGTCGAATCAACGAGGCTATGAAGGGCCTTAGGATCTGGCGGAATACGTCTGGCTATGTCAAAAAGCGTCGCATTACTCATCACAAATAGTGAGCTTTCATCTTCGCGACGGGCCATCTCGTCCCGCCACTTATGCACGGCTCGAAATACAGCGAATTGCTCTTTTGAAAACTTCCCGGCAGACTGTCTTATGAGTAGGTTATACCACCCAAAGGGGCCCTGGCCGTTTTCAGCATCATATGCAGCAGTTTCATGCCGTCGTAAGGAAGTTTCTTTAGACCTATCCAGAACTTGGTTCATCAGATTACGTCCTGATTCTTCTGGGGTTTGTTGTAATAATTCGTTGCGCATCATATCGTAGATATAGAGAAGATAATGGGTATCTGAGCGTGCGTAATAGAACATTTCATCAGGTATCGGGCTGTTATCTAGTCAGCAAGGCTTAAGTACGATATACATACTGGAACATGATTCAATTCATACCGTATTCTCCAGTCAGCTAATTGATACTTCTTGTCTGCGTCGAAGTCGACGAACTTTTTTAGCAGATACGCAAGGCTCCTACTAGGATACTGAAGCGCTACTGCGGCCTCGAATGTATCGAAGAGTCCTACGATATAGATACCACAGTCTCGTTGTAGCCAGATAATATCCATGTACGCACCATGAAGCACCTATTATGGTTAGACACTTGTAAGAAATTAGACAGGCGATTATAACCAACCTTGACGATCTTCGGATCAGCAAACACCTCGTTTAAAACTTCGAGTTTGTGGCGCCATGGCTGAAGAGTATCGACAACCCAATCCTTCTCACGCGTGCTGATCTGCATCAATGATAGTAGACCGCTATATGTTCTGAAGTCATGGTGCTCCGTATCGACGGCAATTTCGGTAGCAGTTTTTAGTTCTTTGAGCATATCTAAAACGCCCTCAAAGGTATCAACAAAGGTAGCTGTTGTGGTTTCGACGGGCTGATATTTGATGGGTTCTCGTGCTTGGAAAATGGCTTCTGGGAATTGTAGCTTGTGAATTTCGGCCTCGTAAGGATGCTTGTATCTAGGATTAATATTAGCTTGCTGTATTTGATAGACTTATTTTAATAGTCCGCCCCCAAAGAGTAAGAGACGTACTGAGTTGCCTGGTTATCATCGACGAAAGTCTCTAGGCTCTTTTCGAGAGAGATAAGCGCATGCGGTTTCGTGGTGAGTATGGGCTTCCAGGGCGATGGGTCGAGATTGTTTGGCTTTAGTTCGAATGCATTCTGAGGTTTGATTATATTCGCGCGGCGAAGAGAGTTATCCAATGTAGTCGATCTTGATTTCTTTTGTGGCGGCCCTGGCTGTTCGGCTGGTGCGGTTTTCCTCTTGATTACACCTGTGTACTCATCTAAAGAAGTATCGGCTTTTTCTAGCAATGTGTCTACCACGTCGATAATGCGCGACCAATGAACATCAACATCGTCGCTATCCTCAAGAGCCAGGCCTTTCAGTTCGGTACCCTTAGTTGCAGATGAAAGGAGCGACGTGGCTAGTGAGAGAAGGCGCGAGGACGTATCATCTAATTGTTCTTCAACATCTGGATTGCTTGTTCGTTGAAAGCTGATATCTTCGGCGGCAATCTGGTTGGTCAGCCTAGTAGTGGCTACGAGAGCTGTTTGGATCTTCTCCTGTATGGACTTAAAATCTTGAGGAGGGTCCATGGTCGCTGCTTAAGTGGTACTTTTTGCCAGCGACAGGGAACCTGACGATGAAGAGTTGACGATGTTTAGGGATTAAAATGCGCTGGACTAATTCAAAAAATTCTAGCGCATACCTAGGCCTAAGTGCTTATCGATAATGCATATGGCTGGCGGAATTCCCGTTGCGGGGATGTATGTACCTTAGGTACCTAAATGTCACGCATCCTGGCATCCCACACAACCTTACTGCATGCGCTAAGATAGCGATAACCGTATTCTCTATACGTCCTGGCATTAGTTGCAGCTGTCACCATCTTCACTCATCTTTTACTTTTTGAAATTATTTACTCTGTACCTATATTACGAATCACGTGTTAACATTAATCTTCTAATATGTCTGCCTCTCTTGCGCCAGAGTGTAACGAAGTAAAGGAGTAAGTTTGATATCTTAATGGGGATTTTATTAAAGCTGATGGCTATAGGCGATACGATACTTGCTTTCTTAAGTGGTATAGCGAGAGTATGTGTGAAATTAGTACTATTTCTTAGTTTTGTCTAACAATCATAGAATACCTACGAGGCAACGGTAAAGCGGACGACAATGAGTGCGCTAAACTTTTTAAAGATTATCAAAAATGTCTCCAGGTTGGTAACGGAACATTGAGCCCTTAGTTAAACCTATCGGAGGGATCCTCTGATTTTAGGATATAAGATATAGACCTATCACTAACTGGATACTAATGAATGTACTTTTATAGGTCGCTCTTAAAGAACGAGGTATAGATAAGCTCTTAGACGAAGCAAGAGAAGATAGTAAAGAAGGCGATGCTCTTCATATGAAAAGGAAATGACGAAACCCGAGAGACGATTAACTGGGCCGCAAGTGCCGAGTTTCCGAACTGCTCCATTAGAAATGGATAGGTCATAGGTACACTACGTACACCGAGAAGCTGAAATATTTGAGCTGACTGCAGATGAGAGATGGTCTCAGCCAACCAGCTAATTCAGCCAATGTTATCCTTCTAAATCAACCCCGCGGTTCTTTGCTCGGCTTTTACCAACCGAGCTCAGCCTCACCATGCCCTAGCTGAAGTGAGGATCGCTAGCAAAATGAGACCAAGAGGTGAAAGGAAATGCAGGGTAGGGCTATTACAGCGAAGCGACGTAACCGTAATACCTTGGCAGGTTATTAGTGTATATTAGGTATAGAGGAGGTAGCTTAGGAAAATGGGGGATGGGGGTAAGAGCTCGTATTCAGTACCCTTACCTAGGTACCTAGATAACCCAGCTCCGACTATTTAAAATGTGTCAAGGCCCCTCTTGATTATCTTTACTGATTTCTCCCATCTTGTGTAAGCTCTTTGTTTTCCGTGGGTATAAAAAACTTTCAAGTTAAGGCCTTAACTACACAACACGTTAAGTTAATACCTTGGAAGTGGTAGGTTGAAATATTGAGCGACGATGTATTATTATAACATACCGTATATAATAGACTCAATTTACTCGAACCCCATTTTATTTGACCTGAAAATGAATCTAAGGTTGCTGTCCAATTGTGAGGTTGTATAGATTAGGTAGGCAAGTATTGATGGGATTGAAACGGGGTTTGTCAGTCGAATTTAATAGTGGATCGGCAGATCGGAGCTTTACTAAACACTCGGGACCTCGACGTCAGTTAAAAGGGTTGATCGCAACCCAGCTAATTTCTTTGTGGCTAAAAAACGGTTTCCGAGTCTATCGATAACCTAAAAAGTACACGCAATACGCAATGCAACCCTGCGAGTCTAAACTGCAAGGGGCAGCAACAAACATCTTCAACATTCAAGCTCGCGAGCTCGACTGCCTTTAACCAATCCTCTCTCCCGTCAAACTTTGTCGCTCGTTATACGTGTCGAGCTGGTTCACGGCTAGTAACTTGGAATACGAAGGACCACAAAAACAAACTTGTGCGACAAATTTCGACAAAGCTGGCGCAGACCTAACATCGCCATTGCCGACCGTGACTTCACTCGAGACAACCGATAACGACCGATATTATTCGAGACAGCGGTAGTTAAAGCTATATTTCCTTAGGAGAGGTTTCTAACCTAGAGAATTGATGACTTCGAGGGTCCCCTTTACCTCCTAGCGCAAAATTCTAGGAAAGATACTAAGACTATAGGCGATGCGACCCGAATAATATTCGTTCCCGACTTCCTACATGCACCCTTTTTCCATCCTCACCCTTGCGATCTTCGTAGCTGGCTACATCACTGCTCGATGGGATCTAGTTACTCGGCTTTACGAATTGGCCGTTTTTGCCTGGGATAAAGGTGTTATTGTAAGTAGATGTCCTAATTACCCACTACACCACTACATCACTATATTTGATAAATAGGAGACATGGATATCTAGTGAGAGGAATAAAAAAGCGAGGAATATTTATCTAATGTTTGACCACCATAAATATAGGCCCGCGTCACCCAAGGATTTGCTCTATTAAGTTTTGCATTTGTCCTCATATTTGTACCTGTGCAACATATTGCTCGAATAGAAGTCGATCTGGTATTGTTGCAACTTTTCTTCCTAGTTCCGAGTTCAACTTGACTAATAAACAATTTGTAGCATCCGCGATCGCCTAGTCTTGGAATATCTGCTCGAGAACAACTTCGGCGCAGAGGCTCCTTCTAAGTGGAGTGCTCTGACGCTGATCATCTGGTCATGCCAGAGCATGATGGACTGATGAGGGTATTTTGGCCGATCGACATCCCTACGTCTGATGCCCCTGGTGTTATTGTCGGCTGGAGGAACTCAAACCTCGATGTTGTTGTTATCGCTGTATTGGACCATGTCGACGTGAGCCATTTGACCCTAGTTCACTGCGGTTCTCTGTTAACGCTATTGTATCTTAGCCAAGAAATGTCGAGAACGCGCTTAAGACCGGTATTCTATTGAGGAGTGCGCCGCATCCTATACCTCGTATATTTGAGCTTTGTGGACAGTCATCTATGCATGTGCTTGGCACTACAAATCGCGAATCTAGTATCGAGCCAGACTCCTCATGGGTGCGCGCCATCGTTGGACCATCCCATCAAGTGCCTAAGGTCGCCTGTACGAGAGCATCAAGCATCCAGATCGTTCTATTCGAGAGGCCAGTTCCGCTTCGCATGCAATATATATCCTTGAACCCGATTGCACTCTCGCTTGCCGATAAAGAGGATGGTGGATCGCATCATACGTCCGATAGTTCCGAGGCCGAGGAAGAAAAACAGGAACGAAGGAACAAGCAAAAAAAGCGTCTCCTAGTAGATAAGTTAAAGAACCATTCTGTAGTAAAGCATACTCCTTCTCTGAAGGATAGGGCTCTTGAGAGAATTGTCAATCAAATCAACTGGTCATGGGAGTTGGAGCATTTGCTGCAGAAAAACGTACCACTTATTGGCACCAGGCCGAAGCGCACTCTCAGCGTTTCTGAGCGTGTGGTAGAACAGGCGGCGAACATGAGGGATTACATAGTCCTTTGGATATGGGACATGGTTATTCTCTACGCATTCCCTATAATACGTAGGGCTTTTGTGCTTCTTCTTCTTGGCCACCGATGTGCAGCCGAGGCTCTATTACTTATATTAGAATGGAGGGCTCGACCAAACTCGCCTGCCCTCAAGGACGTGTCTGCAACAGCTCAGCAGGTGGAAATACGTCTCCAACAATTCTGTTATTGGCCTATGCAGTATGTCAAACTCCGTCTACGAAAAAACGACTGGGCCAGTGTTACAACTAGTCACCCAGATTACATACGCTTTTATAACAGCCTATGGCTTGTGGCCAACGACGTCATTATCGGCATTGCCCTCGGTTCATACATCATCGACAACGCCGAGTGGGTGGCTGACACTATAAGCATGCTTCTGGGGAGTTATACTATCAACCTGCTACGGACCAGCATCTCTTGGCTCATGGGCTGGCCTGCAGGTCTGAAACTGAATAGCGAGTTGGCCTTATTTTTGGGCGACTTGTTCCTTTGGGTTATTGATTACTGGTCTAGTTGCATCAGCACTTTAGAGCCCTTGTTGCCTCATGTGGTCTGGTTCATTGGGTTTTCTAGCTTTGCTGGAGCTAGTATGCCTATTGCGCTTTTTTCTGATCTGCTCTCGGTCCTCACGATTCATATTTACTCGTTTTATCTTGCCTCAGCACGCATCTTCCACTGGCAGTTAACGATTTTACTTTCCCTTTTCCAGTTATTTCGAGGCAAGAAATATAACGTGTTGCGAAATCGTGTTGATGCATGCGATTACGATCTCGACCAGCTTCTTGTCGGCACTATCTTATTTACGCTTCTCTTCTTTCTACTACCAACCGTTGTTGTGTTCTACCTTAACTTTGCCTTAGCGCGCATGGTCATCATATCATTCAAGGCCATCTTCGACACACTGCTCTCTTGTTTAAATCATTTTCCATTGTTCGCATTGATGCTAAGGGGTAAAGATCCTCGGCGTCTCCCAGGTAAGTTCTATGAGAATATTCGCCTACCGCGCAACTTTATAGCTAATCTCAACTTAGGCGGCATTCGTTTTGAACTTCGTGATACCCCATATAGACTTAGTGTTAATTGTACATCGACTCTACCTTCTCTCTTGCAACCCACCTCTATAATATATGTAAAGGTTGGTGATGTGCTAATTGTTCCGTTGTGATGGATGATTAACTAACATAACATAGCCTATACCTCTTGCATTTACAGCGATGTTTCATCAGTACTTCCAGATGGGCAGCCGTATTCGCAAACACTACTTATCACCTCGAGTGTTATTTTGTCTCTTCACGGGCCGGTTTGTCCCACCGATTCATAGGAAAGCCCTCTACTCTTTACAATATAGCATGCTCCCGGCGCGTAGAGCGGGTATCATGGAGATGTGGGAAGCACTAAATTCGTTACCGACAAAGAAGCGACCTGTAAATGTATACGCATATACATTCGCCTCTACCGCAATCGTGGACGGACGACGGCATATGAATGGACGTGCGGGAAGAGGTTTTAATAAGGAATATGATTAATGAGACATTGGGCGCTTGGGCAATATAGACAGTAGATGACGATGACGGATAATGACATTCTGTATAAGAGAGTAGAACGTGAAGCGGCTCTTCAAATGTACCTATATGACGATTCTTCGGTGCTGTGATACAAAATTTCAATGTGAACGAATTACATATTGTAAATTATCAGTTTATAAACTAAGGCAATAAGCCTATACGGCGTCGATACCCGGTGACGCGATATTAGGTACTTATTGCCACTATGCAAAAGAGTGCTATGCTGGCTTCACTTGTAATGCTGTAATTGAAACTGCTGACTTACAAGTGAGGCTCGGTGCAACGGTGCTGTAATGACAGAGCTTGTTGGTTCGTCATCTGGGGAATGATGATTTATGAGCCAATTCATCTATGTACTGGTAGTCGTGTGCGATCCACAGTGAACTAGCTCCTGGACGCGTTTGCCATTGAGCTGGATATGCTTCAATCAAAGTAGCACATTAGACCGACGTAAATAATAAATATGTAGGTCATTTACGGGACCCCTACATCTGTACCCTTGGCATGTAGTATTCCGCGCATAGGGCCTCAATGGAGCTACCTCTTTGATACACTGCATCCAATGCTTGCGTATCCTCTTTTCCCCTGTGCTGCTGGCTTAGAGGTGCCACGTCGAGTTTTTAGGGGACATGGAATGAATTGAGAGAGAGATTGTTATAGGTTCGTTTGGTGTTAATTGAGCAACGTTTCTAACGATACTCCTAATTGGTAAAAAATTTAGTTAGCCCACTTATCAGTAACCGGTACATTCAATTTCTAACATTAGGTAACTACCTAACCTATGTAGATACTGAGAAGTCACGTGAGCTAAATCTGATACTCCACCAGGTGTAACTAAGGTAGGGAAGGTGGTACGGTGCGGTATCAACCGGCTTAGATCTGCATCTTCCCGTCGCGCAGAACCAACTGTAACTCGAGCCAATATCAACTACAAACGCCACCAAAATTCGACTTACCTCATAATTTGTACTACCATATAGATTCGAGTGTTTGAATAGCTAAAACTAGGTACTCAGCCTAAGTAGATAAAATGTGTATCACCAGAGATAACAACTCAGCACCCGGCAGGCTACTGAGGCCGGTTTGCTTTGGGTGTTCTGGCTCCAATAGTAGGCCCCGACGGAACAATCGAATATGATCTATCATCTTCAGATAGAATCTAAATGGCTTACTTCCTATGCCCAAACCGCCTGCATTACATAGGTATTGGCCTAACCAATGATCGGACCGTAACAATCCTATTTGGTTTCCGGTCAACCTAACCACCACCAGGACTTATATCTCTGTTGCCTCGCAACAACTTTATTCTTTTTGCATGCACGGGTACATCATATTCCCATTTTCACTACTTAGGTAGATAACCATTAAATATTGTTATCCCCTCTTCTAACTTCTTTTCTTTTCTAATTCAAATAACTTCTACAACTTAGGCAGACATTGCACCGCGTGTTGTGTTTGTGTTCGAAACACCATGGATCTGCTTCAAGCTGTTTTTTACCACCTCGTGTTACCACCTCGGTTACCTGGGTCTCAAGACTCAGATATCGAGGCTGTATCTTACGACGTGTTGACGCGCATCATCCGCGCTTGCGACACTCTTGATAGCCTTGTAGAACCACCTTGGTCTGAAGCATACCAGTCTCTTCGTGACTCATTCGAAGCATGCCTTCCTCTCCACTCCGGGCGTTTGGATAAGTCGGTGCTGCTAGACTATTTCCGCGAACTTCAGCAAGACCAGATGCTTATTTTGCACGTCGCAGAGCAGAATGCAGCTCTACTTATCCGCCGCACAAAGCAGTCAGTATATAACTAATAACCATTTTCTAATACTGTTCAATTTTACTTACCGCAAAATATTAGAAATGGAGAACATTACGTTGTGTTCGAAGCATTCGAGACATCAGCCGTCTCGGAGCATGTTCTCGCTGCGGGACATGCGTTACAGTGGGACTTTCCCGGCCGTTCAGTCCGGCTACCCCTTTCTTCATTCACCGATGAACCATTTCAAGAATGTCTAGCAACTTTCCTGGAGCAAGCTAGTATGGAATCGCTTTATAGCCTCCAAGCTTCTGCCCAAAAAGCCAATGTCTCAATTACTGAGGTTAGGGATACAACCGACCCAGCACTGATTACCCAGATGCTTATGCCGATCCTCGAGGCGATGGGGAGCTACTACCAGACGCCTATGCTCCGAAAGCGAGTCCGAGATGATGTTAACATACAGGGTGCAGATTTACCCTGGCGCCGGCTCCCGTTCTGGTTGGTCTTGCGTGTTGCAGCTCAACGGCATCTCTGTTTGACCCTTGGCAACGAACAGGGGCGTATTTGTTACAAGCTCCTCATGTGCTTATTGCTAGCAGACTTACTAAAAGAATCTGCTGGAAAGCTCAACCCAGGAATGGTTATTACGCTGCGCACTAAACTATGTCGACGCATGGCGAAGTTAGAGATGGACAAAACTAAGAGCATATTACCTGAGTCGTTGTTTAGCCAGGTCCCTCCCTTGATTGAAACCATAATCCGGGAAGCGACCAAGCAAGTTGAAAATGCTTGGGAATCTTTCAAGAAGACTACGATACGGCGTGTTCCGGTGC